TCAGTCATGTTAGGACAGTTGAACTAGTAACAGCTCCGACACAGGGAGCCTCTTGACTCCTTTATGATGATGACGCAGATACTCAATTAGCAGCAGACAGGCTTACCCGAGGGTTCCCAGTTTATCATGCACTCCACTTCCAGAGACAACATAATCGCTCAAATCCAGCATGATAAAGCCGCGATCTCTGCCTACTAGGTTGGATAAGCCCTGTTGCCCCAGTTCCTGTTGATCTGCTCCACCAACATGAAGCTCTACAACACTCCCATGAAGTACCATCAAATATCCATCCATAATTCCTTTGTTAATTTCTAAATCAACCAATTTTAACTCCGCCTTAAATGCAAATATTTCAAAACACTCGTTTTTTAAATAAATGTTAGAAATATCCATTTTAGATCTCTTTATTTTATTATAGTGACTTTTCAAGTCAACAATTATACTTTAAAAAATGATATTCATTTTCGTTATATCTATAATGATGTATATTTGTATTATCTCAAAATTTGAAGTTATCTTTAATAGATTAGATTTTCACAAAGACTTTCGACAATTAAAGGATTTAATGGTAGAATTTAAATTTGATTTGTTTGTAGACAGGCAACACCATATTGTAATCTTAATTAATCCTAAATTGGAGAAAATCAATGAAAATCTAATTTAATCTTATCTCAATATACAAGGAAATTAATTAATTGCAGAACACCGCATTTTTTCATAAATACAATATTGAAAGCATCATATTTAAAATATCTAACACTGAAACCTACTCTAAATCTAAATTTGAGTTTTAACCCATCAGGTTGCAAAGATATAGGGATGCAACTATAGAAATACCACATTTTAAAAAGCTCATAAGGGGTACAATCTGTTTTGAAACCCTCTTTTTTCATTTCTCAGCTATAGGATATCATAGCCAATCCTGTAACTTATACTCCAAGCATGTTATCAAGTAAAATTTGTAAATGAACCTTCAGAGCAAAATGACATTTAAAGAATATTATGTTTCTGAAGTATTTCCGTAAAGCTGAACAGTGAAGGATAGCACGAAATCAAAACTATAAATAGGTAAGATTAAAAGGTAGATAAATAAACTTTAAAACATATCTAAACTTTAAACGAACTTACTGCTCACTCCAATTTCCCAAGCTCTGTATCTTTGCAACCTAATGGTAAAAGCCTTTAATATTTTTGACTGTTAGATCTACCAAAATTCAAAGTTGCATGGAGATACAAGGATGAACAAATTCGAGTTTGAAGCGAGTAAGCATTTTCTTAGTTTTTTTTATGTTGAATGATATTAATCACTTTTTCTATATAATTCATTTCATCTTCTTGAAATAAGAATAGAATTTAAAATTTAAATTTAAATCAAACGTTTAAAAGAAACAATCAGAAATTTTGCATTGAATGTAAATAAGTTCATTTATTGCAAAAAACGTGAATTATGTTAGACCCCTTATCAAGTTATTAACTAATAGGCATACAAGTGTGTAAATCAATTAACCATTATTTTCAAATATTGAAATCAATTGAAAACAAAAAGTTATATAACTTAAACCATGTTTTAAATAATAAAAACTGAAAATATATTATTTACAGTTCCGTTTACTTTACACTCATGAAAGCTAACAAAACATTATTGAATATGTGAAAAACATAAAAAAAATAAGATATAATAAAAACTTAAGTAATTCGACAACTTGTATCCTAACTAAAAATAATCAAATCAAGAAAATAATTCTGGAATTCTAGAGGCCTGGAATGTTTGACTTGTGGAAATTAAACTCCGAACATATATAAAATGGGGTCCTAATTTATAAATTCTAAACAAATATGAATGACCAATATCAACACAAATATGGTCATTAAGGAACTGAGTGCTCGTCACATATTCAAATATTCTAATCCTTATTTCTTTGCAAACTTTGACTATTTGATTTAGCAGACTTTACAGTTTGAAATATCAAAGATCCATGACATCGTGTTGCAAAGATTGAAAATTGCATAAATAAGAAATTAATTCTAATTCTTGAACTCAATTGTTGTTTGCTTTAGATCCGATAGTGCCCAAAACTTTAGATTTTTTAATAAACATGATATGTTTAAATATTCATTCAATTGGAAGTTTAGGATTTGGATTCCAAAATAAAAATAAATAATTTCAACAAATACAAATAGGTTGGTTTGTTGTGAAATATTTCATGCTCTTTCAGGTTTACTTTTAACTTTTCCAAAAACCAAAAGATTGGAGAGAGCCGGGTTAGGCTCCCCAGTTCTCGACAATCTATGGCCGAGCACGCTTCAAGGAGTAGTTCGTCTTCAAGATGTTTTGTCTCTACAATATTTTAATACCAATTGTTTCATCTTATTTTCATTATTAAATAAAGTATTTGTTTACTGTACATTTGTCTTATAATTCGAGCGTGGTGAAGTAGTTTTTTATTAAGAATATATATTGAGTTTATTTTATTCACTTTAATCTTTTACATTTAACTTTATCAAAAATAAAAATAAAAATGCGATTGGTGGAAGGCCGTGTACTTTTAAAACGGAGTATAAGATAATTATAATATTTGTATATGTTCTCTAGTTTCAATGAGATACATAATAAATTGCAAAATCAAAACTTAAAGGAACATGTCGCTGTAATATAAATTGACCTGTGGCCGAATTTAAAGAATTTGAGCCGAGGTTTAAATCCGCCAAAACCCGGTTTAAATTAAGCGCCGGCTTAAATCTTGAAACATTTGATACAATTTTAAGTGGAACCAACCATATTTAAACCGCGGATTAAATTTAAACCGCCGCTCAAATTCTTTAAATTCGGCCACTGTTAATCAAAACAGGACATGTCCGGATCACATTTATCATAAACATTTATCGGACTCGTCTTTTTTCTTGTTTGAAAAATGTTTATTTCTTACAATTTCCTCCATATTGTTTCCAAAGTAAAATTTAGAAAAACCATAATTAAAAATATTGAAGATAATCAACTCTAAAATCTTGATCTGGCAACGCTTTTAGGGTCACCGTTGTGAATCGGTCATGCTACTTTATAAATAGAGTCATTTGAAATTACATCTACAGACTCTTATCAAAATCCTAAGGCAATAAACTAAATAAAAATAGGTTTACAGCTGGAGTAAAATATATATATATATATATTACAGCCCCTCTTGTTAAATATCTGTTCAATATTTGAATAATCTAATATATTTGAACTAGTGGTTGGTTCATTAATGTTTTCTAGTTTCCTAGTAGAGTCAGATGTTCTAGAAACTCAGTCATGATAATCCAATATAATAGAGAGGTAAACACTGAAATAGGATAAACAGTTAGATAGATGTATAGTTAGTAAATTATAAATTCAGTGCAGTCGTCTCTGAATTGCATCCTTTGTAAAGGTTTTTTTAAATCATTTAACGTAGGAATATGTACATTTTAGGGAGATATCACTCTCCACTAAACCTTTTGTCAATGCACAACAGATTACTGCAATACCCACCGAAAACTCAGTTGAGGGTGATATCCCATCTATAGAAAAATGTCAGATTCACAACAGTATCTTAAAAACCTTTGTAAAAACAAAAATTACGAAGATATCCTTATTCTCCTAACTATAAAATTGACAATTGTTGGATCTCTTTAAAAGAATTTGCGGAGTTTTGTAATTGAAAAGAGTAAATTTACAGAATTTATCTCTGCTTGAGATATAAAAACGACAATATATTCCTCATCGTTAATTATATAAAGGTTCAAACAATGCCACCGTAAATTGGGCTTTATTACATTGACATTCCTTTTAATGTAGTATTTAAAGAAGAGGGGTTTAGATTGGATCAAAAATTAGGAAATTAGAAAGAAATTAGTCACTCGAGTAAGTAATTAATTACATCTGGACTTCTAGTTGCAACTAAGGTATAAAAGGATATATACTGAGCTCCACGTACAGTTGTATACTAGTGAATAAAAGGATATATACTGAGCTCCATGTACAGTTGTATACTAAGGTATAAAAGGATCTATACTGAGCTCCAAGTTTACAGTTGTATACTAGTGAATAAAAGGATCTATACTAAGCTCCATGTACAGTTGTATACTAAGGTATAAAAGGATCTATACTGAGCTCCATGTATAGTTGTATACTAAGGTATAAAAGGATCTATACTGAGCTCCATGAATCCTTATCTATTCTCTACCCGGCTTCCTGCCTTCTCAATGCACACTCTACAGGGATAAACACTCCTCCTATTTATATATAAATTATTCAGAAAACAACCTTTTCATTTATCCTTGAGATTATTTTATTTCAATTCAAACTTTGATATAAACCTTGATAGAGAATACATGGAATACATGACGTGAGAATTGAGATAGATTGATACACAAGGTGTGTTAAGATTGCAAATTTTGCAAGCATCCGTAAATTCTCTATAGGAAAGGTGTGCTAAGAATTGCAAAAAAAATCGCAAACGTTCATAGATTCATCATATAATTGCTGGCAAAATCTTTTAACCATCTGACTTTTAACAAGAAAAAATATTGTTAGAGCTTCTGATTTAATTGAAAACTTATCGTTATGAATTTTGAACTCACGATATCAAATCAATCAAATCAAATCATATATTTACTGGAGTAATAATAAACCATAACAGTTATTAATGGGAGTGACCGTCTATGTAAGGTAGTTGAACGGAGTATGCAGTGTTGTGGAAAACTTCTTTCGGATTCATTTCAGACATATTTAACTTTTTAAAGATCTGTAAATCCTGATTTTGGGCGCAAAACTATTACTTAGGGGGTGGATACGTTTTCAGAATTAGTTTTTTTTAAATTATTAAATAACGACGCCATAAAATGTAAAAGATTTCTACAATAAACTACAGACGTCATGTATAGGAACATGTTGAGAAAATAAAAATTAATCTTATCATCGAAAATAAGTAATCTTGTTCAATTATCAGTTTCTATTTTCTCATTATTCTGGTTTCTCATTATTCACAAAGATTTTCTGCAGATTTTTTAGAAATATTATTAAAAGGAAGACATTTGAAGAATTTGAAGAAATCTGTGAATACATTCAAAGAAAATAAGAAATTCAATATAATAATGAAAACGAAATATTTGATTTTAGCATTGATTTATTGAAAAATGTGTTCCTAACCATCTAATTAAATGACTGTATAATTTTTACTTTATTTTTCGTTGTCGTTATTTAATAATTTGAAAAAAACTAATTCAGAAAACGTATCCACCCCCAAAGTAGGAGTTTTGAACGTCGAATTTGCGCTCAAATTCAGGATTTACAGATCTTTAAAAAGTTTTATGTCTCAAATGAATCTGAAAGAAGTTTTCCACAACACTGCATACTTGCAGTTCAACTACCTTACATAGCCGGTCACTCCCTTTAACAAAACATTAGTTCATTAGAAATATGTAAAACTAGCAGGAGAGCTTTGATAGCTTAGAGCTGTTTTTACAAAGCTCTCCTGTGATTCTCAAGTTATAAATAATTTTTTGAAGAAGGTTAAAGATGTTCAGAGGTGTCATACAGGGGGGGAGGGACTAAGCATCCCCTGGAGAAATTAAACTAAAGTTTAAGGCGGATTTAGATAGGGTTTCCAATCGAAATTTTCACGGAAATTGTGAAGTAATTCTAGAAAGGGTTTTCTTAATTTTCGAGTAAAAATTGCACGAAATTTCGAATAATTGTGCATTGATACACAAAAGCACAAAATCTATGAAAGTTTTTTTTTTACTGGAACTAATTTCCATCATTGTCCAAATATCTAAATCTTTAACATTAAATTCATGCACTCGAATCATGCATCAAATATTACTTAATTTCGTAATCATGATAAAATTATGACTTAAATCCCGTACTCATGCACAATTTTGTTAAAAATAATTATTTTGAATGAATACGCAATTTCGTGCAAAACTGGATTCGTATTGATACGCAAATGTTGCGAAATTTCGTGCAAAAACGCGAAACTGTCGCAAGATAATCTCCTTATTTCATGAAAAGCATAGNGCTCATTACTCAAACATTGATATAATATTTAAAACATTATAAGCTTGGAAAAATAAGTAATTACTTCATTTAAATAGTAAAACTTAAACTAGTAATATTTTTTTAAATACATAAAATTGAAAAGAAACAGGATATTTACAGACGCTAACTTAGACAGAAAATACCAACTAATTCTGACCCTTAGCGGTGATCGTTTTATACAGGGTGTCATATAAATAACGATCTAAGTACTAGGGCTCTCATGACGGTTCAACTTTTTAAATCTATATAAGAAGTAACAATTTGGACAAAAAATATTTAATAAGCTAAAAAATTCTAGGGTTCAACACGAAAAACCTTATGAATATCAATGAAAAATTGCATAATAGATAATTGCTGCAGTGGATGTGGAAAATGACATGTGAAAAAGGGCCTTACTATATTCAAGAGCTAGAGCTGGGAAATCCAGCGTTAACAAAGAAGGAATTCTTTACTGAAAATATAATAAAAACAACGAGAATTACCGATATTTTTATAATCCTTTATGTTTATTTATTATCTGTTATTCGAACATTTAGGAAGGATAACAATTTTCAACGAGGCCAACATCAAAAACTTCAAATTGCAATAGCTTCCTTAGTTTAACTACTACACACTTCTCATAAGTGTTCTCAAAGGTCAGAAAGTTACACAGATTTCGAAAATGACCAAAAATGTAACAATCGAACAAACATGAAGAGTTCTAGTACCTAAAAGATCATGTTTTTTAAAACGTTGTATGTAGGGATCTAGGAAATTCTAGAAAAAAATCAGCATTATGTTTCTGAAACAAAGGAGCGTTCAAAGTTTTGACTCAATTGCTTTCAAATGGTATTTATTTGATTAACGAAAAAATAATTATCATCTTCACAGGATAAGGTTACACAGCACTCTGAATGCATTTAATAATCACAAAAACATTTTTACAATCTATCTTGACTCAAATGATTGGCAAATAACATTCTCAATATGAGCTTGTTTATTCCTATATTTAGAATTATATGTTTTAATTTTAGGAAAAAGGAAATATCTTAAGACAAATAAGAAAATGTCAGAATATCAAAGGTTCTAAAATCAACGCGGCATTATTTTGTAATCATGAGCACTGCAGACGGGACTAGACCCAGATTCTCAAGAGAATTTTCATAATCTTCTTCCTCAAACACCTTCTTAGGGAAGCTCGTCATTAGTTTGACGGGACCTGACGAACCATCTGTTCGGTTCATCTCAACATAGAGACGAACTGCCGAAAGCTGTTCCTTAACACCAAAACTTTGAACGATCGGTTGACCGTTGGATTGTCGGATTTGAATTCTACATTCGGTGTAATCCTTCTTTGGTGTGCTGACAACGACCGCGGCGGCAGGAGCGGGGGCGGCGGCCTGCGCCCCGTCTGGGGACTTCATATTAAACATTGCTCGCCGGGCGATTTTATCCTCTTCTATTCGAGCTAAAATTTTAGCTTTCGCATCTTTTTCTTCCTTCTTCTCCCGTCGACGAATCTCGGCAAGTTTTCGTATTTCCTAAAAAATTGTTTTATCAAATTCAAACTTTTCCTAGAAGCTTTTTAAAGATGTCAACGTAATTTTAATAATCCTTCCGTGTTAAGAGCGATATCAACGATTGAAAAGGATAAACTTTTTATATTATATAAACTACAGTAATTTTGTTTCACCCACCGCGGTTTTTCTAGCGAGTAATACTTGGATTTCTACAGCAAAGAATGTATAGGATTAAATAGTATCTTGGTGAAATCTGGGGATTTGATAGAGACAAACATTTAAGGTTTAATTTCATGAGAAGAGAGAAGGAAGTAGCAAAATATTGAATACCTGCTCTGCGAGCTGTTGTTTAATCTCAGACATTCCCTTCCCCTCAATAACTCTCTTCTTCTCTTTAGCTATTGCCTAAATAAGTTATATTCAAATAACAATTCTTTTCTTTCTGTCAACATGAACATCACGTTTAAAATCGTGAGGGCTGATTTTTTAATATTTATTGTTGGTTTGAATTAATAAAACTACATTGTCAATTTTTTCAATTACATCAATAAGGGATTCATTCTTTATATTTTCCCTGGAAATATACAAATTTCGAGCCCGAACAAGTATTATTCGGATAAAACATTTTGTTTTGAAAAGCTGTGTTAAAGGGGGGGTGTTTACCTCCTTTTTTTCTCTTTCTTCTCTCTCTGCTCTTTTCTTCTTCCTAATCTCTTCCAATTTCTCCATCTTCTCTCTTTTTTCTTCTTCTGTCAGAGGCTTCTTAGGTTCTCCATTCACATCCTACATTAGATTAATTATTTAAAACAATATTTCGTTCGTTTCAGGTTATATAGGATATGTAAGGCCAAAACACGCATACTGTCTCAATCCTTAAGGCACGAAATTTTAAAATAATTATATAGTTAGAACAATTAAAAATTAATTCAAAATTAAACCAAATATTATTTGTCCTAGGGTTGTAATTAAAATTAAAATTTCCACCTAAAAAAGTGTGATAGGAAAGATGGATTGTTGAGGTGAAAACACCATATTAAAGAATATTAATTAGAATAAATTTTCAGGCCCAAAGGGTTTCACTAATATTTACAATTGCTAATTATGAGCAAAAACTGCATATCAAATTTCACCGCGTAGATAAAAGAATTGATTACCAGTGCTCCTGCTTCCTCTTCCTCCTCCTCTTCTTCAGATAGAGGGTCATCCAGGGTATCATCATCAGTCTTAGATAGCAACCATTCCATTGCTGGTTCTACACCCTATACAGTAGAGTATATATAATATATATATACAGGGGTAGTTAGTAAACATATGATTTAGCTAGCAACCATTCCATTGCTGTTTCTACACCCTATACAGTATATATAAATTATATATATATATATATATATAAACAGGGATAGTTAATAAACATATGATTTAGATAGCAACTATTCCATTGCTGGTTCTACACCCTCTTACTCTTACTCTTACTATTTCCCCCTATTGTAAATCCAGATGAAATATTTTTGAGTTTTGTTTATGACTCCTACCTTGGATCCGGTAGCTTTTAGTGCTCTGGCTGCTCTGTTGGGTCCGAACCCCATATCTCCAAGGGTAGCAATCATTCCTGCTTTACCCGACATTTTACTTTCTAGAAAGATTTCAATTTTCTAAATTTGATCAATATTTTACCTTTCGAATACAAAAAAATATTTATTGAATGGAATTATCATATGTATATGTCCTATAATGTTTATCTCGAGATATAAAAGGTTTTGTTTCATAATTGCAATATCATAGCAATTTTACTTCAAGGGAACAAGCGACATAAAAGAATGAAAAACTGGTACACTAAGCAGGATAACAATTATAATAAAAAACTAAATAATTCCAAATATTTTCCATGCTGTAAGACAGTTCCTTCTATGAAATTATATTGAATGCAATTTTAAGAAGTAACAATGGTGCGTCGTATCAACTTGACCCAAGACCAGAACTGGGTTTTCTGCTCGTCTCTTGGTATCTCTGACCGTACTAATAAATAACAAAATGAGATTACAAAGAATTGACAATTAAATTTTAGATAAATGGACTTGGTTCTCTAATTGAAGCATTCTTTTGAAAGAGATTTCATTATAAAAGAACAACCAAGCATTGAAGAAAATCCTTAACATTGTGTTATATTGATTGCAATGTTATATCAATAAAAATGAAAAATTGCTAAAATGTCTGTCTAACTTAAATTTACCTTCTCATACCAAGCAGTATAGACTTCATATTTATGCTTATACAAGGCATATTCCTAAACAAAGATAAATTAACAGTAAGTTTCTAAAAATTAGCTGAAAGGGAAGAGGAGAATATTGTAACCTGAGGATCAGCCCTGTTTGGTGCAACAGGAAACTCAGGCATAGGTGGAACAATATCACCATCTTCATTAGTACTTACATCAATAACTGGATCAGATTCAACACTTTAAACTTGAAACAAGATACAACATATTTTTTGGCAAGTTAAAGTTGACAACATTAAAACTCGGAACAAATTAGGAACAATGAAACATTTTTCCTTCAGGATTTAATGAAGTTTGCAAATTTGTAAGTTTGAATTTAATTCCTGGAGTTTGAGGTTTTCCAAAATTGTGTTTATCCTGCTCAGTTGAAGGTATCCTTTGTTCTTCATGTAAGCGGTAAGTTGGAGATGTGCTCTCATGTTCGGAACTAGGAGAAAGTTTTATCACACGCTCCGGGGAGATATCAGATCGAGCACCGATCTCCAACTGCTGTGTGTTGATCACGCTAGAAATGATCTTTGGAGATGAGAGTCCTGAGGAACATTGATCGTTGATGGACATGAGATCAGAGCTTAAGACTTGGGGAGAACTGGAGTTTAGCGGAGGACTCCATGGAGGACTGGAGTTCCGGAGAGGACTGGCTTTCCGAAGAGGAGGACTGGAGTTCTGGGGAGGAGGACTGGAGTTCCGGGGAGGAGGACTGGAGTTGCGGAGAGGAGGACTGGAGTTTCGAAGGGGACTGCAGATGTTGAGAGGACTGGGGTTGCGGGGAGGACCAAAATATTGAGGAGTAATGGAGTCTTGTGAACTGTAGTTTCTAGAAATGGGTCTATCATGAAATGGTCTAAAACTGGTATTACATGGAGAACTTTTATCATACATAGAGCTTGAGTGTTTAGACTTGTGAGGTGGGCTTGAGTAGGAATGACAGGGGCTATGAGGTGGGCTATCATAAGATTTATGCGGTGGACTTCTACTATATTGCCTAGAGCTCCGTGGTGGACTAAAGTAATCTTGACGTTGATAGCTGTAAGTTGGACTTTCACTACCAATGGGACTACGGCTGCGGAATGAACTAATGTCTGGATGACTAGATCTACCAAGAGTGCTCTCACTGGACCTACTTGGAGATTTACATCTTGAGCTGGAAATTAAGGATATGCTAGGTGGAGGAGGTGGGAGATCATTATCAATCTGCATAGAAGCATTAACTGCATGGTCAGAATTAGATCGGATAATTGGTGGTGGGGGCGGTAATATATCATCAGAAAAGTTACGTTGACACGCAGCAGTGGGAGTTGGAAGTTTGGCCTTAACCCCCGGGCTAAAGGAGACGGGAGACGGCAGGTTGATTTTAGGAGGGAAGCGTGCTAGGCTGGATACTTCAGGATTACTCAAAGCAGGTGAGGAAATTGGAGGGGCTAGAGGTGGTAGATTGTTTAGAGCAGTCTGATGGTTTTGTTTAATAAAAGAAAGAACCCAGCCACCACGATCAAACGTCGTTCCATACAAACTAAAAACAAAGAAACCTAAATTTAAAAAATACAGGAAAAAATTAGAATAGGAGAGTACAAGTAATTCTAACAAAGGGATTTAATTATCATGTGAGATCAAATTATAGAATTCAAAACATTTATAATTCCAGGGTGGCCAAACTTTTTTGAAAAAATCCGTACAATTCGTACAATTTTCGAAAAAAAATCCGTACAATCCGTACAATTTTCAAAAAAAAAACCGTACGATCCGTACATTTTTTTTCAAAATCCGTACAATCAGTGCAATTTTCGAAAAAAAAATCCTTAGAGAACTAGAGAACTAGAGAACTAGAGAACTAGAGAACTAGAGAACTAGAGAACTAGAGAACTAGAGAACTAGAGAACTAGAGAACTAGAGAACAAGAGAATCAAAGAATATAAGATCCAGAGAACCAGAGAACAAGAGAACCAGAGAACTAGAGAACTAGAGAACTAGATAATAGAGAACTAAAGAACTATAGAACTAGAGAACTGAACTTGAGAACTAGATAACAGAGAACCAGAGAACCAAAGAACCAAAGAACAAGAGAACCAGAGAACCAGAGAACTAAAGATCTAGAAAACTAGAGAAATAGAGAACTAGAGAACCAGAGAACCAGAGAACCAGAGAACTAGAAAACTAGGGAACTAGAGAACTAGATAATAGAGAACTAGATAATAGAGAACTAGAGAACTAACGGTGTATTTCCAGGTTAAAAATCCGCACAATCCGTACAATTTGAAAAAAAATCCGTACAATCCGTACAATTTTAGGGTTACAAAATAAAACCGTACAATCCGTACATTTTGGCCACCCTGTAATTCCAAGATAGAATAGAACTTACTTGGTCATGGTGTTCAGCCACCCTTTCTGTTCAATAGACAGACTTGACTCATTGAAGGAACGGAGCGGATTCAATCCCGGATACAATACAGGTTTGTGGATCAGTGGCGGAGGCTGAAGAGGCGGCGGCTGATGGAGAGGCTGAGGCTGGTAAAGTGGCAGAGGTTGATTCTGTTGAAGGAAAGGAGATATTTGAAGGGATAATGGCAGTTTATTCGCTGATGGGGGAGGAACAGATAGGTTGAAGCTTAAATCACTCTAAAATGAAATAGATAAAAATATAACTTACCAAAAACTAGACCAAGAGTAAAGACTACGATCTGTACTGAGACCAAGAAAAATAACCAAGACATACCCTAGAACCACACTAACACTCAGCCTAAAACTTAGACCAAAAAAACAGGACCAAAACCAAACTAAGACTAAAACCAATACAAAACCAAGACCAAGCCAAATAACGAACAAAATCAAGACATCGACTAAGACAAATTTCCAAAATCATTATAAAGATTTACCTTCAATTGTTCTGAAGAAACTCTTACAAACAGAATGACCACAAAGAAATGCGAAGTATGCGGAAACAGATCGACTGAGTTTACTAATATCTTCAATAACAAGGAAATCAGTGATGAAGATATATGAGATGTAAAATTTAAAAAAAATAATTAATACTAATTAATAAATAATTACCGGCATGAATGGAGCACCAGCAAACATTGCAGAAGTGGGACGTGTAAGATCAACCAGAGTCTTGAGGGAACACCTTAATAAAAAGTTTTTTCCCCTTATTTAAAATTTCAGATAAAACTTCATTTATTTATTCCCTTGAATATTATGTCCCCTTCAATTAAAAGTCCTTAACATTTTTATTTACTCGCGAAAATATTCCTATCATATCGAGGGAGAAACTGTTTATTTAGGGTGGGTTTCAACAGAATATGTACGTACCCTTGATTTGTCAAGATAACGGCAATTAATTACCTGAAATCACTTGACACATAAACAAGCTTTGAGATTCGAGATATAGCGCGAAGCGCTCGAATAGCCTTCACAGGTAAACCAGTTCTGGGAGGATCTACAAGAAGGATTATAAAAGGAGCGCTTGAAAATTTTGAAAGATGGCACTTTGATTATAACTTGTAAAACAGGCATATGAGATAATCCAGGCAAGAAGGATCCGGTGTATTGTATATTTACAGGCTGCTCGGCCAGTGAAAAACTTTTCCAACATTTTAAAGGTTCTTTGTGAATGATTTAAGAAATGCATTTTAACATTGAGTCGAAAAACACAATAATCCAACATTCATGATCTAACTTTTGAGTTTCGATACATTATTTTGATACTTGTGAGTGATAAATAATTCAAGTACACTCAAATTAATTCTTGTGAAACATATGTCTGTTCAGAAATAGTTTTATGAGAACATTAACATTTATATTAAAAAAATGTACAAACCTAATACTGCAAGTACCTCAGGACAAGTTGCATGCTTTATCAGGTTTTCTAATCCTTCCTCTACACTACCTAATGGGACAAATTGATGTTTACTTTATATTAACAATATGAAAAGTTAGTCGTGTGATTGTACCACCGCTTCCCTCACCCCAAATAACTTTTTCGGCACAAAGTAAAAAAAGTAAAAAACAAAAGAAGGATTCTTGTAAAATCAGTGAGAAGGCATAACCAGTAAAATAAATAGATTCGATGAAACTTTACTATAAATTATTTACCTACAACATATTCAGCGTTAGCAATTTTATTTGAGAGAACGTTATGCTTAGCGTCAACAATGGCATCACCAGATTTATCAATTCCAAGCAACTGAAATTAAATGGATAAATGTGATTTGAAAATAATTTTTTGGTAAAAATCTTTGTGGTTTTATAATTTCAGGGACCGTATTTAATAAACTTTGTGGAAGGTCGCTAAGTCACCTACCGCCGGTTCATATTCTGAATCACCAATTCAAACTTCACTTCACCTTTGAAATTCCTTATATTCAGTCTCAAAAGTCATAAATATAATAACTAATTTGAGCAATATAATTTTGATTTCCAGCATAAAACCCCTGTTTTCTGTTTAAATAACTTCAATAGATTTACCTGGCCAGCCCATTTGGATAAAGATATCCCTATAGCACCTGATCCACTGCAAATATCCACCAAGGTGGAATTAGTGCTCAAACCTAAGAAATCTATTAGATCAATTCTGCCAAATCAATCAATAAGTAAATTAACTAACCATAAATCAATAAATCACCTAAAAAAACTGAGTCAACAAATTAATCAATTAATAAAATAAATTAAATTACAATTCATTTAATTAATCAATCAAATTAATTTATTTTTCAGTAAATAAATCTATTGATTAATAAATCATATAAAAATTGAAGAAATTAATTATTAAATCAATCTGTCAATAAGTCAATCAGTAAACCAACCAATCAATCCATCACTAAGTTAATCTATGTATATACTTTGGTTGTCTGTTTGTCTGTTTATTGGAAATAAACGTCAAAACAGCTGAACCGATCGGAACCAAATTTTGTGTGGGACCTCACATAATATGAGAAAAAGTTAACAATTGAAATAAAAGATGGGCGCAAAGCACCCTGAAAGCCTAGTTAAATGATAAATAAAGGGGGGGGGGACATAAGGCGTAAGTAATCCGAAAAACTTAAACAGTGGTTAAACATAACCTAGCATAGTTGTAGGACGCTGATTTTTTCATGCGAACTCACTAATATGTATTGTAACTGCAACATGCAATTTCAAATAGATCTGAGCAAATGTGCGCGCGCGCTTATTGTAAAAAAATACGACTTTTTCACATTTTCAAATGCTTTACACCGTTAAATGAACTTGAAATTGCATCAAGACGCGATTGAACAAGAAATTCCTGAAAAGTTTGCGCCCTAGAGCCACAATGTCCCGCATGCGCGCGCAATTAAGAAAACATATAAATAAATTTTGATTCAAGTTGGACCTAATTCAAACAAAAGTATCATGCGATATATCAAACTACAGGTAAATTGGGACTAGGAGTTTATTTCTGAGGTCAAAATTGACTTTGAAGCATTCTGACCGGCACGCAAGTAGCCAGATGTCACATTATGGGTCATCTTATAAAAAGTTTTATATGCCCTATATCTATTTAAAGGTAATTGGGCACGAGGATTCCATTTCTTGGGGTAAGAAATCTTTTGACCACTCTGATCGGCGCGCTAGTAGTCTACCGTTACGTTATGGGTCATCATACAACAGACTTAGCATGTTGTATGTCGATATATAGGTAATTGGGCACGAGGATTCCAATTTTTGGGTATTAAATTTCGCAAGACCACTATGTCCTAATATACCACATACAAGGTAAGCTCGTCCTTATATGCCACATACAAGGTAAACTCGTCCTACTATACCACACACAAGGTATCCTTGTCCTGATATACCATATACAAGGTGTCTTCGTCCTAATATACCACATACAAGGTAAACTCGTCCTTATATGCCACATACAAGGTATACTCGTCCTACTATACCACACACAAGGTATCCTTGTCCTGATATACCATATACAAGGTGTCTTCGTCCTAATACACCACATACAAGGTAAGCTCGTCCTTATATGCCACATACAAGGTATCCTCGTCCTACTATACCACATACAAGGCATCCTTGTCCTGATATACCATATACAAGGTGTCCTCGTCCTAATATACCACATACAAGGTATACTCGTCCTAATATACCATATACAAGGTATACTTGTACTAATATACCATATACAAGGTATACTCGTCCTGATATACCATATACAAGGTATACTCGTCCTAATATACCATATACAAGGTATACTCGTCCTAATGTACCACACACAGTCAATTTATCTATCAATCAATGAATAAGTATATTAATTAACAAATCAATTAATGTAATAGTGAACTATTCAATCAATCAATCCTTTAATTAATCAAAAATGGTAATTTATCGACGAATCAGTAAATTATCACATTTCAAACTCGGTCAATCAATTGATCTTTGTATCATTTATCGACCTAAGCAACAGATGTGATTTACAATTATAAAAGTTTACCTAATGTTTGTGAAATGGTTTGATAAAGAAGATGAGCTCCGTGTGTGTTGATACAGAGATATGAACGCGGGGATACTGTTAGTTCAATATCATGAACATACTCAGTTATCCTCTCCTTCCCATACAGATGCTCTACAAGATTGATAAACTTGTAGCAGTATTTTAAAACCCCTGCGCCGGGGGGAGGGGGAGAGTTTTAAAGGAATGGCAGGAATAAATAAAAATTTGACATCAAAAGGCAAGCTTTTCATCCTTTTTCATAATATTCCCCGAAAAGTTAAAAAATTTCCCCTAATAATCCTTAATTTTTCCCAAGTCGGCTAACACTTAGAGGGAAAGATATTTTCAAAAAAGGGGCAATGATTGATCAAGAAAATGTACATCCCTGATTTGTAGGGAATATATTTTAAGTTTAACAATGATTTTCGATACTCAGATAAAAAAAAATTGGATACTGGTAAGTTTTTCATCTTTTTTGATACATTTCCCCTAAAAATCATTTGTTTTCCCTAAATCAGAGAAACGCCTAAAAAAACTTAAATCTCCCTGACATAAATAAATAGATCGATTACTCGATAAATGTAAACTGTATGTTTACATTCTTGTAGTTAAAGGCAAATAATCGGTGTGGCTTCATTTTGAAAATTCCCCCGCAGATTGTGATTGTAAAAATATTATTCCCCCTTTATCAGACATTAGTTACAGTATTTAAGGTTGAATAACTTACCTAATGTCCCAGGTGCTGTTGAGGTTTTCTGAGCCCAGTATAAAGATGTTAAATCAGACTTAATTCCTCCACCTTAATTCCATTATATTCATAAAATCAAATCATAATTCTGGCGAATCATAGTTTTTCATATGTGATTACATCTTGGGCGTCTTTTATATTAAAAAAAAAACCAATAATTAAACTATATTCCCGAAACTAAATGAGCATTTTAAAATGTATTTGGGGTTTCCTAATAATAAAACCGCTGTAGAAATTATTTCCGTTTTTTTCTCTTTATTCGACGAATTCAGTTTTAGTTAGACACACAATTACGTTTAAAGCTGCGACGGATCCATGCAGTGAAAAAGTAATTACTGGTTTATACCTTGAGCAAAGAACATTATAAGATCTTCTTTAGCTGCCTCTAGTCTGTTCGTAGATAAATCCTGAAAGATTAGGTATACAAAAAAAAACACTAAAATGTAACTTCCACAAACTTATTAAAAATATTTCCCCAAATACTTTTTAGGGTTTTTAAAAGAGAAATTAAACAACGTTTATCTACGATAAAATGTGAAAAAAACATGCTCAATAATGTTTCATGATCAATATTACTCACCAGTTTAACATAGTAAACAACCAGCATAGTCTCCGAGTTCTGAGATGTTCTCACCAAAGCTGAGCTCCATCCACCCTCACCACTTCCCTGAAGTTAATTAACAAATTAAAAAATTTAAAGTATGAACAAATAATCAACATTAGAGACGTAATTATTCTTACAAAGTTACAAACTAATGATGAAGCCAGGATGAGGACGTATTAAGTACAGACTTTTGAGAACACACATCTGAGAATGCGCTACTGCGGACGCACGAAAAGTGTTGCATACATTAAATTAAAGAAAAGATCGTACTAAATCCCCAACGTGGAATCCCCAGACCGGTATCGGAAATAATGGGCTCAGTCAGACTAAGTCCAAAACCCGGTCAATCCGGCACCCTGATATTCTCCTCCGGGGCAATTCTACCAAAGTGCCGTACTACCGGGCGCAGGCCAGCCAATCAACTGGTTGGCGAAAGTGTACCCTCCAATCAAATGTAAGGGGAGAAGCAGCACCTGGATGTTTTAGTGATGCTATTATATTTTGCCATCGTTCTAGGACTGAGTGAATACTCTTGGCACGTTCTTGTAACTTTGGGACTCCAGAATTGTACGGGCATTGGGCACTGTGAGTGTAACTGACCCATCGGATTTGGTCTCCTGTAACCCAAACCTGCATCTCCTACTATGATTCTATTAAACAGGGGGGATGATAGTTAACTACCTAAGTGTACACCTAGGACAGTTTACTGATAAAGGATATTAAGAGATTATGGCATATTCATACAGTACACACATCAAATATGCAGTACGCTTTTGGAATATGGGGAGGTTTTGTATCTTACATTTTACTCAGTATTCTCAATACTGTTTATTAACCGTTAAATATTGATCAGTAAAAGACTGCAATATAGTACGTCTTCCTGTGAAAATGTTATTCTGCACATAATAAAAGAGCAGTGGATTGCAATAGTCAAATGAAAAACAAAATCTCCTAGCTGGATATGCAGTCGGCATTTTGAAAAAAATGCTATAGTAGTCAATATTAGTTTGAATTATTAGTGTTCAAGGTTTCCTTTAAAAGTGTAATTGAAATATGTGTAGCTGGAAAAGTGTTGAATTCTGATAATTTCCTCCATTGTTTTATTATAGCAAACTCCGCAAGTCACTTTCCAGAGAAATCACGATTAAACTAATCTACTTTCAAAGAGAAAATTATCTCGTACCTTCGTAATTAGAGGTTTAAGGGTACCAATGTGAACCATACATCCCTCTCTATTTAACGGAAAAGTTGAAATAATATCTATAGTTTTATTAATAGTTTTTGATTGAAAACCCTTTCCTGCTTAAATGAAAATAAATATTTTCAGAAATCACCCCCGAGTACTGTAATATACTCCGGGATTCATCCTCACTTCAGGATTGATCCTTACTCCAGGATTCATCCTTACTCCAGGATTCATTTTTCCCCCGAATTCTTCCTTATTCCAGGATTCATACATACATATTTAAAAGTATTACCTCGTCATACGATGATAAAACAGAGGACTGTAAATGAGATTCAAGTAGGTTTACGACAGCTTTCATCTGAATAATTATATATTTAATAAACCTGAAAACTATATATAAATCGAATGTTTTATGAACTAAATTCTTTATACTTAAAACTAAGTTTACAACTTTCATCCATAAATAAAAATATTATATTTCATACGGTATACACTGTACAGGTAGGTATTGTACACTGTACTATGTACATTGTACAGTATATCTGTGTTGGTACATGTCTAAGATGGTGTACAGGTACTACAGTGTACAATATAACTGAGTTGGTACATGTCTAAGATGGTGTACAGGTACTACAGTGTACAGTATACCTGTGTTGGTACATGTCCAAGATGGTTTACAGGTACTTCAGTGTACAGTATACCTGTGTTGGTACATGTCTAAGATAGTGTACAGGTACTACAGTGTACAGTATACCTGTGTTGGTACATGTCTAAGATGGTGTACAGGTCCTACAGCAGAAGTCTCTGAACCTGGGTCTAATTTGAATCCCACACAAACCTGGCAATAATTACAATATTTGAGTAAAAGTAAAATGAATTAAAAGCTATTTTTCCCTCACAAGAGCCGAATCATCCCCTCTCTCTCTGCATATGATGTAAATTACCTTATTTGTTTGAGGATCCTTTCCAATAGTAAACTCACACTTGTTCCGGTATCCTTCTAATACTGGGGACTCCTTTAGTATGGTATCATCATTACTATACAGAGGTGTTCATGAAAACTCATTTTATTTAGTTTATTTCAAGCAAACTGCTGGGAGTATTCTGGCCCCCAGGCAAGCACACCCCTCAGTACTTCCCCTATACAATACTCATTATCCTCCTCCCCTCTTCTGAAAATCATTTTCCTAGTAGCAATTTCTAATTCATAGCTGCACCCTGCCCCATAAAATTAAGAACGCTGTTCTTGATTAAAATTTTTTTTTTTTAAATATTGCCAAAAGTTAAGAGCATTTTCCAAAATTAAGATTTTAAAGAATATGTTTTTGATATCGTGAAAATTTTTATAAATCTTACAAAAATTGGAAAAAATGAAAAAATTCTCTTTTTTTTGTCAAAATTCTTCTTCAAATATAAAAATTTGAATATTTTCTTCGAAAGTTCAACATTTGTACTTTTGTAGATAATATGTGTTTACTATATGTTTAACAAATGTCATTTAAGCAATAACCTAAAAAATAACATAATATTGTACAGAACTGCAGTTAAAGTATAATTGATATTTAAAGAGATTTTTTTGTCCCCAGGACTTGGTCGGGTTGTTACGATCGAATCTCGGAATTTTTCTATTGCGAAAGTTTGGTGTTGTCTGGGTTTCTATTGATCAACCAGGAGTTGTAATCTGGGAGCACATTCATCAATCCACGCTTCATTCATACTGAGAAGAGGGTTGACAAGATTCCAGTTGCCTAAGGGCTTCTAAGGCCTGAGAATATGGAGTGCAGGAATTCTTCTGATTTACTGGAATGAGGCCCGGGTGCCATACAGATAGGAAACATCACACTCATTGCTCCCTATCTTTGGTAAGCCCGGATTGGATACCCACAGGTACCTATAGCTGGCAACCATAGACTCTCCCTGCTTGTCCATCATTCCTTACTTCATCACCATTCACTTGGATCAATCCATATAAAGCTTCTTTCTTCTATATATAAATTTGGCTTGTCTGTCTGTCTGTCTGTCTGTCTGTTTGTTTGTATCCAATAAACGTCAAAACGGCTGAACCGATCGGGCCCAAAATTTTTGTGGGACATCTAGGGACCCCAGGGAAGGTTTATGAAAAATCAAAATTTCCAATATTTGTCTCCATCAAAATTCGATCGTCATTAAATTTTTAAAAATTTTGAAAATCCGCGAAATTTTTTGTGAAAATCCGCGAATTATTTTTGTTTTGTTTTACGATGTACACAAAGAGAACATGTTCACAACTAATTTAGAAGATGGGCGCGAAGCGCCCTCTAAGGCTAGAAAGAAGGGCGCGAAGCGCCTTGAATTTCTAGTGTTGAGTAGAAAGCACGCACCCTTTCGCTGCGAGAGTTGTTGACAGCCGTCCCTCTGTCCTCCTACATCCGTCAGGTGGTCATAACTGCTTAACCAGATGTTGGCTTCAGATGTTTTTGAATCCACAGGTTTGTGTGGAGTACAGGAATCGAACCCGTGAACACCAGTCTGGACACCAATCCAGTTACTGGCTGTGGACAAGTGTGCTTAACTTCAGTGATCTAACAATAACTGTTGGCCCACACTCTCCACCCCACCCCACAAAAATTGATATTAGTATATAGATAAGGTGTAAGGCTTAAAAAAGAAAACGTTGTAAAATCATCAGCTTCCATTCAAAATTTTCTCGCACACTCGTCCAAGTATGATTGTTTGATGCAAATTGCTGTTAGTCGAATAGTTTGATGCAGAATGTCTGGATTTCTAGCTTCTCTCTCTTTTTTGTCAATTTGTTGTGAGAGTCTGGGGGAGCAATTACTAACAAAACTCTTATTTTTGAAGGTATTAAAATATTTTTGATGAAAATGTTGGGACAAAAATTTTTAGGTGAACAAATTTTAAGAACTTATATTCTTTCAAATATACACCTGTTACTATTCTAATTTTAGAGAAAATAATATGAATACAAGGTAGAAATAGTTACAAGGTGTCACGTTAAAAAATGTCCGGGCTACTATATCGGTATTAAAAGAATGGTTAACGTAATTTCAAGTGACAATCCATGCAAAGATGTCAATAAACAATGGCCGAATCACAACGATACCCTTAAAAGCTATGTCTGATCAAGCTTGAATTAGATATCAATGTTTATAATTTCGAAAAAAATACTGAGTTACCAATTAGGATGAGACTAAAACTCTTATCTTAAGAAATCTCAGCTTTTTTGTTCCATTTTAAAATCTCTTTAATTTAATGTATCCAGCGGTATGAAAAAAACTTTAAAGAACTGTTTGAACTAACAACTTTTAAACATAGAAAAACGACAATATCTTCCATATTATTGATGATATAAAGGTTTCAAGATTATTGTCATCTTTGCATGGAAGGTCACTTGAAATTAGTCCCATTAAACAAATTTGAAATTTTCAAATTCAACAGTATCTTTAAATTTCAATATCTTTTTTTGAGGGGGGGGGTAAATATTTTATCATACTATGGATCCATAGGCTTTGAGACAAATTATTATGCTAGTATTGATAGAAATTTCTTGAAATATTGCGGGAAAATAGCTTGAATATATTTTAACCTTCATTTTTTCAATTCTGGCGCAGTGTCCCATGTTTATATGTTTCTGGTGGGACAACCAGCGACCAGCTTCAGGACTGTATTCAGATATCTCCTGCACACGAAATTATACTTCTAAGCATAAACTCGAGAGAATAAAAATATTAAATAAAATATTTTTCGAATATTGACCCCCCACTTCGAACGGGGTTAAACAAGGAAGACGTTTTGCTCATTACAATATTAAGTTATTTCATTTAGAATACGAAAAAGCGGGCGGAGAATACTGAAAAAAAAACTTAGAATGTTTATAAAAAAATTCAATTGACTTCTCCTAAAATAATTCAAATCCAGCTTTTTTATAAATTAAAAGACATATTAAGTCCATTTTCTTAAGTCTTCAATGGAGCAAGAAAAAAATTCTAATTTAGCACATTCCCTACATCTAAAATGACGATACTATATTTTCATTTTCAGTATTTTTAAGCGAGTAAATATTTAAAGCCTAGTATATAACTTTCCTTATGAAGATCATTTACAATCTGTTTCACCATTTCTTCTTTCTTTTCTACTTGTTTCTTATATTCAATGTTTGCCAGGGGGGTAGTTGCTTCCAACACCTGAATAAAATTATTGCAAGTTTAACAAACGTAAAAAGTATCAATTGAAAAAAAGATCGAAAGATTAGGTCATATTTTAAAAAAATCATAAATGCCCCCCCCCCCCCCCTATATGACATAGTCTTCTGGTTCTTAGATTATCTGTTTTTGGTGCAGGAGGTTGTTTCCGGCCGAGTGCGAGACGTTTTTTAGATTCCACGGGCACATAAGCCGGAACGTGGGGGATAATTCTGAAAAATATACACCCCTGACCCAAAACGTGAATGTGATTTAAAATTATGTCTTGCCCACCTTCTTTTCAACCATACTTAGTCCAGGTGCAATTCTTCTAGGACGGGTTTTATCAAGTTCATTTTCTTGTTTTCTGTCTTGCCAATCATCGTCTCTTTTCCATTCACCATCTCTTCTTCCATCCTGTTCTGGATACTTCCAATCTTCCTCTTCTTTCCACTCCTCTCTTCTCCTTCCCTCCCATTCTCCTGCTCTATCATATTCTCTACTCCTCCCCCGTCTTCCTCGTTCTCCCCAGTTTTCTTCTACTCCTCCTCCTCTCCCTTCTCCCGCGTCATATCTTGGGCCTGCTAGTTCATTCCTTTCTCCAGCCTAGATTGAGTAGATTTAGTATTTTTGTTTTAAGAAGAATTCAACTTAATTCTTATTTCTAAATTATATGTGATCCATTGATAAAGAATAGTACCATGAACGACACACAAGGGTAAACGATAGAACATACTTAGACATCTTTCTGCTTGGCATTAGACAATATGCTTGCTTGTTTATTTCGTGAAAAAATACCCTCCCTTTATTGATTAACAAATATCAGTTATACAGATATTTTTTCTTTGTTCTTTAAATTAGGTTATGGCAATTTAAGTGAGATGTGAACAGTTCCTCGAAGTAATTAAGAAAGAAAAACTTTTTGTTTCTAAAAAAATAATAAAATGTTTGATAAAAATGTACAAACCGGTTGCAGTGTCGAAGAATGATCAAATTTACATTCGTAGTTGGAACAACTTCCAGATCGGAGAAATGCAAAGCAGGCAGCTTTCTTCAAAGTGTGTTGATAACTTGAAAACAAACACATTGGTATTAATATTTTAAAGAAAATAAATAGGTTAAAATGTTCCGAGTTTTCCCCTCCCCTCACACCTTAGAAATTACCTTCCCTTCCCCAAAAATTTTGAGTGTTAGTAAAATATAATATATAATATAATATAATTCAGAATTTAAAAGCTTTAAAGTCTAACCTACATGAGTTTCCTTTCATGCAACGCCCTGTGTTCTGGTAGGCGAAGCAAACCTTAAAACAAATTATATTAATCACAAAAAAATCTCTTAACACAAATCAGTGGTCTTAAAAATAGTGATCAAGTGAAAAAAAATGTAAATTGTTTCAAAAATATTAACATAATAAAGATTCTCGCCCATAAATGTATTTTTTTTTAATATTCATACTATATTTTTCTATAGCTGGCAAAACGGCTAAACCGAATTGACAAAAAAATTTTTTTTTCAAAATTCGGTTTTTTAATTCCACGGGCAACGCCTTGCACTCAAGCTTATCTCATTTAAATGAATTTCAAAGAGATTTGAAAACAGTGCTTAGGATCAATTTCATTTTGATCCAGATCCGGATCCTGGATCCGGACTGGAAAAAAATTGATCCAGATCCAGGTCATTTCTTCAAGATATAATGAAATTTTAAACAAAACAGAATTTTCGCATTTTTTTCTCGCTAATTTTGATAATTAAACTTTATGTACCATTTAGAAATCAGGAAATTTTTAAAATCACTCTTTTTCAATATTTCATAATTGAATTATTGCAGTTTTTGGTTGATATTTTGCCCCTTGGATCCGGATCTAAGAAGCCAAATCTTGCAAATTCAACGCATCCGGATCATATTCACTGTTTGAAAATGATTTAGTAAAAACATTTGCCTTGTACGATACGTACTAAACTGTTAAAAACAAAAAAAAACGTTATTAATTTTCAAGACCATACTGTACAAACATACCTTAGCTGGTTTAGATGAATTTCCAGTCAAGAGGGAGTTGTCCTCGGAACCAGATTTGATCAAATCCAATTTGGGAACTTTACCCGAAACCTCTCCTGATATTCCAGACAGGAGAGGTCTTTTCATAATGCTTATTTCAGAAACAGGATGCTTCCCTTTATCCGCATCTTTTTGTTTATCACTAGACTGATTCCCTATATACACATCCTTGGTTTTATCAGTAGACTGTACCACTTTATTCTCATCGTTCTGTTGATCAACACTAGACTGATTACCTAAATCCCCCTCTTTCTGTTTATTAACGGTAGACTGCATCCCTGGATCCTCATCTTTCTGTTTAAAAAAAGTAGACTGCTTCCCTTGATCCTCATCATTCTGTTTATCAGCAGTAGACTGCTTCCCTTGATCCTCATCATTCTGTTTGTCAGCAGTAAACTGCTTCTCCGGATCCTCATCTTTCTGTTTATCAGCAGAAGACTGTTTACCTTGATCCTCATCTTTCTGTTTATCAGCTAACAATCGATTCACATCATGTTTATAAACACACTTTGATCTTCTACAGTTTCCTTTCAAGAAGTCCTTACAATCAGCTGTATCGTCATCATGTTTTAACCAACATTTTAGTCTATTGCACTTCCCATTCAAGAAGTCCTCGCAAATCTCTATATCAGAAACATCGATATTGACAGGTTCGACGGAGGCAACATGCGAATATATGCATTTTTTTCGAGGACATCTTCCTTTTAAAAAATCCCTGCAAACTTCAAGGACAACTTCTAGATTGGTATCACCTGGATGATGATATTTACAATCAGTTCGGAAACATTTTCCTTTCATAAAATCACGACAAAGTGCCCTTTTAACAACTGGTGAAGAACTTGATTCCTGGGGCTTGTCCTTATTCACTGTTTGAACTGTTGGTTTCACTAATCCCACAAGGGGGGCCGCACTCTTCGATACTTGTAAGCTCTGTTCCTCTCCGTGAGAAAATTTACAAGTTTGTTTTTTACAAGAACCATTTTGGAAAGCAAAACAAATCTGCACTGCTTTTTGCTCTTTGGTATTGAGTGTTGTGCCCTAACACAAATTCATTATTAGGATAATCTTCTGTTTACAACTAGGCTGAAGGAATATACAGTTTTATATAGTTTCCACTAAGGATGAGACTTTAACGATGACTAAAACTGATTATTTATATCTTTACTAATATATTTATTTATATCTAGGAATATACCGTTATTTTCAATAAAAAAATAGTCACATAGAGTTATATTTATTATTGAGCACTGTCCAACCTTTTCTTCTGAATTCAAGATGATTTCTTCCGGCAAATCTATCATCATCTGAGCTTCTTTTAACAGATCTTTCACAACTTTAAGATCTCTCTTCTGCCGATCCATTGGACCTGGATCGTCATGAAGTTGTTCTTTTTCTTTTCCCTGGAGTTCAGAATCAAATTTAGTTTGCTCACCAATTTTTCCCCCGTTATTAAAGGGAATTATTAAACTGTTCTCATCGTCATCATCATGAAAATTGTCATTCTTATGTTGTGATAAATTGTATGGTTTAAAACTTTCGTTAGACATTTTAAAATGTAAATTTCGTGATTCACAGGTAAGTACGATAAGTGATAACTATATTTTCTAATTTTTTTAAAATCCGGTTAAGTTGAGTTAACAAATAACAACCGAAGTCCGAAGTTCCGAACCAATTCCTGCAATTTTGCCGCAACATATTCCATTAAATATTTTTGAGTCGTCTTCGATTGAAATCAATGAACTACAATTTATTTTATTATAATTGATGAGGATAATGAGAGGACTCAGGATCTCCTCATTATAAAATTAAAAAATTCATCAGTGAGGGATGAACATCTTGCAGCACTTGCACATTTAGGGGGTATAATGAAGAGGGGGGAGGGGGAAGGGATAGTACGTACCCCACCGTGAGACCAAGTTTGTATATCAATTCCTATAAATTAAATAATTATCCATTTTTAAACTGATGAACATAAAAAGAGAGAAAGGAGCTTTGATTTGGAGGATTTGGAGTAGATTTTTTATTAATAAAATTTTTTTAAAAATTTTACATTATTACTGACAACCTCCGAATGTCGGCCTCCTTTTCTCTCTCTCTCTACCGACCCAATCCTCCAGATATATACATATATTTAGTATATATTGTTGTTTTTCTACTTTCAGTCACAAACTTTCTCAGCTGATCAGATGTTTTTATGTTTTGGTACAGTGATAACCAGAAAACTCTGAAATAGGAAGACGACTTTATAGCAATATTACAGTGTATTCGATGTTGTTAGAAAGCAATAATTTTACTAGACACTTATTAAATCCCAGTTCAAGTGAAATGAATGTTTACGCTGAACAATTTCTGTTTCCTGTGCTAGTCAGTAATCGGACTATAAAATCATAAATTTGAGTTTAGACGTATGTCTTCCTATTCCAGAGTTTTCTGGTTATCACTGTATGAAATATTAACTATAATCTGGTATTTTCAATGTATAGAATAATGAATTGCATACACACTCCAGACTATACCAGATTGAGATGTATTCGGTTTCACTTTCTATTTGAATTTAAACACGTGTTCGTCTATTTATAATTACTCAACAATCTGTAAAATTAGAAGTGTCTTTTTATATTCTTCGCTCAAAACGTATAAATGCCGACAAAAGGAAATAAAAGAGAAAAGGCGAAAAAATATATTTAATAGGTCAAATTGTGATCGAAATCACAGTTCTCTCGGATGCAGTTAATATCTTAATCTTAAACAATTAAAATGTAAAATTGTAATTAGAAATTTTGTAATGCCAATGGAAATGGAAATATATTTTTTTAAAGAGTAATATGTCTCAGTGAAAAAATTGTAAGTGCAGCTTTAAGGTAGAAATATTTGTACATTATAAGAGTAATTTTCTGTTTTGAACACTTAAAATACTCACTTTTAATGCTTATTTCTTTTTTAAAAATTTTCGGCCCTCGCTCACTACGTTTCGCTCGGTACTTTATACCAAATATTAATCAGACTTTGACCCCCCCCTTTTTCAAAAGCTGGATCCGCCCCTGATCCTTTGTGGGTAAGGTTAACCCTGCATATATTTGTGTATTGTCTGTTTGGTCTATACAATTCAGAATTCTCGCAAATTCCGCATACATATATGCATTATGAATGAAAATGATTGGATGATAATTAATGCTAAAAATTGGGTGTTTAAAAATATTTTTAGCGACTCATCATTCCTCCTACTTTTGAATGATATCAAATTACGACTATTTAGCTCCTATTGATATTTGTATATAATACAGTAAAGTCAGACATCAGCATCTCATTCTTTTTTTTAAACAAAACTGAAAATTAATTTAAAATATTGGTGAACAAATATTCTCCAGGAGGATGATTAAGGATTATATTGATGTTTGATATGCAGAGAATCACGATCGGGTTGATTTTGAAGGATGTGGAAAATGTCCAATCGACATTTTGTCATTGTAAAATGAAAATGTTTATATATACATGAAGTACAAAAATAGAATCTTTAAAATGAAAAATGGCAAATTTATTTACAGACAATTTTATAAATCAATTATTTTTAAATGCCAGTCACGAAGGCTTGAGTTTGGAGATAGTAAAAGATCATTTTTTGTGTTTTTTTCAAATTTGTATTTAATTATTCATTGCACCGCCGTTTTGTAATCTTTCTTTTTATTACAAACTAACTGAAGTGCCAGGCGTTGCCCGTGGAATTTTAAAAATAGAATCAAAATAAAAACTTATGATTTATTTAGCTAATGCATCACTCATCCCCAAAGGTATCCATGAGTTTCCTCACTAAAATTCAGCCCATTTGATTCAGCCGTTTGGCCAGCCATAGCAAAAATATAAATTAACGAAGAGCAGTAATATATATATATATACAATTATATACTCCTACTTTTTTCAAAATAGATAATATTACATGTCATAAGAATTTTCTGGACCTTTGTCCTTTTTTTCATCTTATAGAATTTAAGTTTAAGTTGAGTTTTTCATTTTCAAAAATGTCATTTACTAATCTCTAGTTTAAAAATTATTACTAACAAAACAATAACATAAAATGACGATTTTTTTTAGAAACAATGCTTTTTTTGCTAGTTTTGTTTGAAGGAGAGATAAAGTATAGTACATGCAAGGCAATTGTACTGTATGTGTATAACCTTTAAAGTATTTTAGACTTACACTTGATATCCAAGAAGCTAAATGTTTGAATTTTTGAATGTTCATGAATCTAGGGGGGGGGGGGGGTAAAAAAATTTCACCCCCCCTTGATTTATTTCTGTATACGCCCTTGTCGGGCGATTGCAGAAAGGAATTTGTCTTCACCCTGCATCTTTTACGTTTAATTCTGCAGACGTACTTCTAGTGATTTTCTCTCTTGGCTTTTAGAATGGCCGATTTCTTTTCTAAATATGGGTACATTAAATGTCTTAAGAGTTTCATATACATTATACAAAAATCGATAAGCCCACCCCCACCCACAGCCATTTTGGATTGAGCAAAGGTGACACATACACCTTGGATGACACTAACCCTAATCGTGTCACGATTTGTACAGGTTTTAGCAAACTGAAAAAGACTGGCTCTAGGGGGTTTACGCATTTCCAGTTTACGTCAGTTTAGATATAACATCTAATATGTTCTAAAAAAAGCTTTGTTTTCGTTGGAAACGAAAAAAATATATCAAATTATGCAAAGCATCTCTTAAAAATATAAATTGTAAGAATTGTCTGTTTTAAAAAAATTTCTAAAAAATTAATTTTATTAGAATTCATTCAAATAAAAGCTATCATTTATATGTTGTAAACTTAATCATAATCAATGAACCGAGGGGGCGGGGGCGTACAAATCACAGTTAATGCCCCAGTTTTTGGAGGGGGTTTAGGATAATGGTTAAAAAACATTCAATCTGATAAAATAATTATAATGCTTACAAATTACTTTAAACGACTATGCGCCATGTACAGGGGCGGATACAGGATTAATTTATTTCGGAACAAAAACATCCAGATTTAGCTAGGAACATTTTTTTAAGATAGATATTTTTCCTGTTTTGCACCAGGATCTCTTTCATTAAGTGCTATTGAGGAGCTATTCTGAAATCTGCCCCCCCCCCCCTATATCCGGCTCTGCAGGCCATGTAAAGTCTTTATCATGCACTAAGCTAAATTTCTACCTCTGTCATGCACTTACTCCTCCACTTTTACATCGCAGAGTAACTACTAACTACCTCCCTTATGCCTCCCCTTCCCTTAGCATACCCTTGTTGCACTCCCCCCCCCTCATTCAACCCTTGTTGCCCCCCCGCCCTCATTCAACCCTGTTGCTTCGCCGCTCAGTGCAGACTAATCATATTATCTCAGTCATAACATGACCACAGCACAGATATCTCAACCCCAGGGGGGTGGAATCTCTGTTTTTGTGAGGGTTAACTCTAGTTTTTTATACTGAAGCAGATCAAACGTTACAAATTATTAACATTTGAATACACAATGTAAAAGTTCGTAAGAATTGATTATTTTAAAGAGTTTGTATAATTATCCATGGAATTTTAAGATGGTTCGGGGTTCTACTAATAAATTTCCTATAAACAGCAATATATATACTAGTCTTTTAGGGTGCTGCACGCCCCTCTTCTATTTCAATTGTGACAATGTTCTCTTTGTGTACTCTGTAAAACAAAAACAAAAAAATTCTCGGATTTCATCAAAAAATTTCATGGATTTTCAAAATGTTCAAAAGTTTAATGAAAATAGAATTTTGATGGAGGCTTAAATTTTTAAAATTTTGATCAATCATATACCTTCCTTGGGGCTACGTGAGGTCCCACAACAATTTGGGCCCGATTGGTTCAGCCGTTTTGGCGTTTATTGGATACAAACAAACAAACAAACATCCCAAGCAAATTATATTCATTGGACTTTTAATTGTGAGCATCTTCTCTTTTTACAGTATATATAAAAAAATGTTTGCGGATTTCATAACATTTTTTAGCGCATTTTCAAAATTTTATAAAAATAAAAACTTTTAAGCACTAATTTTTGAAATTTTGATCATTCATAAACCTTCCCTGGGGTCATGTGAGGTCCCACACAAAATTTGGGGCCGATCAGTTCATCCGTTTAGACGTTTATTGGATACAAACAAACAAACAAACAAACACCCACCCACCCAGACAAGCTAAATTTATATATAGATAGATATCTATTATCTATATCAGTAAACTAATTAACATGTATTTTGTGTAGTATATTTTATTAATTTGAATATAACGGATATTTTATATGTTCTAAATATTTCTTAGGATTTTCTAAGTAGAAACCAGCACATTTTAAGTCTACATGTCCAAGGCTACAATAAAAGAACACATAGCGGATTCGAAAGGTTGGTCCTGTCTCACCAACAAGTGTAGAATACTCCTGATATCTCACTAATTGATTCACAACTTTCTTACCTTTATAATGGCCAATTTCTTATTCATTTAAACATAGGTACAACTATAGGTCGTATCTATCTTTCTACACTGCTCTGGTAAAGCGTAACCATAGTGTGACTATGGTTCTACCTATGGTAGAGCGTCTAAGAAATTGGCCATGAATAGTTCCTGTTCATGATGTTTTTATGTACTTGGGAATCTTCAGAATGTAGACTGTACAGTGTACACTGTACACTGACTGACAGTCTTTATATTTAATATTTCTACAGTAATGTTTCATATTTTAAAACAATTTTTCAAACATAACCAATACAAACATTATACACTATTAATGATTAAAAAGACGTTTTTAATTTAGATTCAAAAGAAAAATGTTTTTAATTCTGTGAAGTTGACTACAGATTTCTGGTTGGAAATGGAGGAGTTGTTACGTCATAATCTTGATCACGTTCTCATTAACATTTTTCTAAGGTTGGTTGATTTTCTAAATATGTGTTAAAAATACCTGTTCCTGATTAGTTCAAATATTAAAATAGGCACATGACTAAAATTGACGTATATATCATATGTATATATTTATTATGTAAATGGGCTAGAATATATTCAAATATTTAAAATATGTAGGTGTGATTATAAAATTTTACAAATTTATTGTTTTAAATATGTCAAATTAGAAAATTTTGATGGAAAAATAAAAAAAAATAATAAATGGTAAAATTCTAGTTTGATTAGATTGAATTGTATAATTAATAAATTTGATTAGATTTATATGTAAGACATAAGACATAAGATACAATTAGGGTGACTCGCAAAAATTCTCCCAGATAAAGATTTAATTAATTTATATATATTTGATTTAGAATAAGTGGTAAAATATATATATTTGATTAGATTGAATGGTAAAATAAATATATTTGATTAGAATAAGTTGTAAAATAAATATATTTGATTGGAATAAGTGGTAAAATAAATATATTTTATTGGAATAAGTTGTAAAATAAATATATTTGATTAGAATAAGTGGTAAAATAAATATATTTGATTGGAATAAGTGGTAAAATATATATATATTTGATTAGATTGAATGGTAAAATAAATATATTTGATTAGAATAAGTTGTAAAATAAACATATTTGATTGGAATAAGTGGTAAAATAAATATATTTGATTGGAATAAGTTGTAAAATAAATATATTTGATTGGAATAGGTGGTAAAATAAATATATTTGATTGGAATAAGTGGTAAAATATATATATTTGATTAGATTGAATGGTAAAATAAATATATTTAATTAGAATAAGTGGTAAAATAAATATATTTGATTAGAATAAGTGGTAAAATAAATATTTTTTAACTTTAATTATTTATTTTTTGGATAAGGGTTGTGGGCACATGCTCACGCATACAAATAAAAACGAAATATCAATAAATCTATTTCCAGTTTGTTATCAAAGTCTTTCTATTATTTTGTTCTGCTCAAGATCATTTAAAAGTCATATACCCCAAAGTTTTGTGTTGCGCCATTGTCTTAAAAACTTGACCATTGGTAACCCTGTAAACCAAAGTGAACACTTATTTTACGCGGGCTGATCTTGCTTCCTTCTTTTTCCTTAGGCTTAACTATTTGGTTTGGTTAATGATATGATTTTTGTTAATCGCATGTAGCGTTGATTTGCCAATGACTTGTAGAAAGCTGGATTTTCAAACATAATTGAGTTATGTTCTTTTGTCCTTTTCTCAGTCAGTCATAAAAAGTAAAAAGAAAGAAATCAGGATTTTTTTGCTTCCTATATATTTGATTAGATTGGATAGTAAAATAAATATTTGATTAGATTGGATGGTAAACTATATATTGATTAGATTGGATGGAAAACTATATATTTGATTAGATTGGATGGTAAACTATATATTGATTAGATTGGATGGAAAACTATATATTTGATTAGATTGGATGGTAAACTATATATTGATTAGATTGGATGGAAAACTATATATTTGATTAGATTGGATGGTAAGAGTCTGAAGAATGTTCAGTTAGTTAATCACGAATGGGACAATTTCGTTAGGTAACATTTCAAATTTTGGTTTCCATAGATAATGAAATCTCCTTATTACCATGAGCATTAAAGGGAGTGCTTGCGAAAAATATAAAGTGGGTATAGGCCAAATCCGATTTAAATTTTTCGCGAACACTCCCATTAAATAGACTTTATCAATTGATACGATGTATTAACTTTAAAGATAAAATCAGCTTTTTTAGTTTTAACCAAAGTAATTTCCAAATGTATTCTCGTTCTACCTATAAATTAGACTCAACTCTAAGAAGACATTGTCTAGTAATGAGAAAGTTTTTGTTGGAAAAAGTCTGAAAGAAAACAGAACCGAAGACGATATTTATTTTAATATTTTAGAACTCGGATTTGGAACTCCAAGAGAAACAGGAAAATCATCAAGTAATTTTAAAATTCAGTTTCTGTTTAAAAGTTGTAATATTTCTTTTTTCAAACGTATATTTTAAAAGTTTATGTTACAGTTAAAAAATCAAAGTATCAATGGATTGCAGGTTGAGGATTTCTAATGTAAATGGGAAGCATGATCTGAAATTCTTTTAATCGTGCCTTGAACTACGGTTACAGTGAGAACTTGTTGATGTTTCCACTGCACTTCAAACCATTTCTTTTTTAGGGATAATCTCTGGTGTAACTCTACATACTCCACTAGGCATATAGAAACAGGGTAGGTACTCCCACCCCTAGTCTACCAACTCCACCTGGCATATAGAAACAGGGTAGGTACTCCCACCCCTAGTCTACCTACTCCACTAGGCATATAGAAACAGGATAGGCACTCCCATCCCTAGTCTACCCACTCCGTCTGGAAAATTAAAACCGGGTAGGTTCTCCCACCCCTAGTCTACCCACTGCACGCGGAATATAGAAACAGGGTAGGTACTCCCACCCATAGTCTACACACTCCAATAGGAATATAGAAACCGGGTAGGTACTCCCACCCCTTGTCTGCCTATACACTAAGCATATAGAAATAGGGTAGGTACTCCCACCCCTAGTCTATCCACTCCACCCGGCATATAGAAACGGGGTAGGTACTCCCACAAGCCACCCCTAGTCTAGTACATAGTCTACATACTCCACCTGGCTTACAGGATCCAGCGACATAAATTAAAACGACCCAGGGGCAAACGGCAAACGTACTAGAATGCGACAAAAGGGTAAACGAAAAATTTAGGTTGGTTTATTTAATTTACTGTTTCTATTTCTTGCAAAAAAGAGCATAGACTGAAATGAAGAATGATTCTTCTTTTGGTCTTTTGGTCGAGTTTTTGCCCGATTGTCGTTTGAACCCCTATATAGGCCGTTTGACCCTGTCCCTAAGTCGGAGAATCCTCCCATATCTGTACAGTGTACAGTGTACATCTATTTTACTCTCCCGGGGTAGGTTCTCGTACCCCTCTCAGCTAGCTCTATTTACTCTACCAGCCCAATATACACTATAGTTCCAACTAACCCACAAGCATTAAAATTGTTTTTGGAAGCCAATCTGTTAGAAGTGCTACTATTCATCATTTTCATAATTAAAGGAATTGAGTCTTTGCCACAAATTCAGATTTTGTAATCCCTGTATCTTTACAACACAATTTCGTAGACCTTATAGATATATCAAACTTTGGATACTGTTAAATCAAATTAAACGTTCATTCGATATCTTGAATAGCATGTTATAGGTATATATAATATATAAATATATAAATATTTATATTCGTGAAGTGTTGTTTCGAACATATCTACATATTTCTTGAAATATTTTTAGCTTTGTTATTATCTTTTCCATGCCTTCCGTACATAAGAAAAAATATCATGATTTGTAGATATTTATAGTTCTCTATTATAATTTCTTTATTTCTTAACAAGTGAAATCGAATCAATAATTTTTTTTTGCTAGAAAATGCATCACAAGTTTGTCCTGTGATAACTCTATATTGGTTTGTGGGTTCACCGACGGTACAGTCAATATTTATCATCTAGATTCAGGTACTAGATAGATAGAATCAAAAGTATTAAGAAAATGAAAGATTGGGGTAGGAGGTTGAAAAAGAAAGAGAATAAAGGAAAGATGAAAAAGGGAAAAATGAAGAGAGCGAAAATAATTAATATTAATACAAATATGTCAGGAAAAAAAATAATAAAAATTTTGTGAAATATTAGAAAAAGCGGAAAGAATAATTAGCAGCTATAGAAGAATAATTAGCAGACAGAGAAGAATAATGAGCAGCTAGATAAGAATAATGAGCAGCAAGAGAAGAAGAATGAGCATACAGAGAAGTATAGTAAGCAGCTATAGAATAATAATGAGCCGTTAGAGAAGACTAATGAGCAGCTAAAGAAGAACAATAAGCAGCTATAGAAGAACAATTAGCAGCTATAGAAGAATAATGAGCAGCTAGAGAATAATTATGAGCAGCTAGAGAAGAATGATGAGCAGTTAGAGAATATTAATGAGCAGCTAAAGAAGAACAACGAGCAATTATAGAATAATTATGAGTAGCTATAGAAGAATAATGAGCAGCTAGAGAAGAACAAGGAGCAGCTAAGGAAGAATCATGAGCAGCTAAAGAATAATATTGAGCAGCTAGAAAAGACTGATGAGCAGCTAGAAAATAAAACTGAGTAGCCTAGAGAAGAATAATGAGCAGCTTGAGAAGAATAATGAGCAGCTTGAGAAGAATAATGAGCAGCCTGAGAAGAATAATGAGCAGCTTGAGAATAATAATGAGCAGCTTGAGAAGAATAATGAGCAGCTAGAAAAGAATAATGAGCTGCTTGAGAAGAATAATGAGCATCTAAAGAAGAATAATGAGCAGCTTGAGAAGAATAATGAGCAGCTAGAGAAGAATAATGAGCAGCTTGAAAAGAATAATGAGCAGCTAAAGAAGAACAATAAGCAGCTAGAGAATAATTATGAGCAGCTAGAGAAGAATGATGAGCAGTTGGAGAATAATAATGAGCAGCTAAAGAAGAACAAAGAGCAACTATAGAATAATAATGAGTAGCTATAGAAGAATAATGAGCAGCTAGAGAAGAACAAGAAGCAGCTATGGAAGAATAATGAGCAGCTTGAAAAGAATAATGAGCAGCTAGAGAAGAATAATGAGCAGCTAGAGAAGATATGTTATGTTGGAGGATGAAAGTTATAAATGATTAGACGATGAGAGTACAATATCGGAAAACTGTCGATTTACTGAAAGATGAATATTGTAAACATACAGGTTATTAGTTTTCTCTTATTGTACTGCAGTTCGGATAGGACTTAAAATTTAGTAAAGATGTTGTATTTTTTGAAGAGCTTCTAATTTGACAATAAATACTTAACAGTTTTAAAAATTTTACTTCTTTCTGAAAGAGACTGTAGACGAAATTTCAAGTGACAATTCTCCGTTTTAAAGTTGTATGTCCGAGTCACAACTTAGTGACTCCACACATTCCTCAAAAGTCTGAAATATTTTATGTCCAACACAGATTTTGAAAATTCAAATACAGATATGTAAATAATATTATTTGTAAATTTACAGGGACGGATACAGGATTAAAATAAGGGGGGGGGGGGGGCTAGATTTATTTCGGAACAAAAAAAATCCAGATTTAGGAACAAAAAGACGTGCAGCAATTTTTTAAAGATAGATATTTTCCTGTTTTGCAGTAGGGTTTTTCCCCTTAACTGCTATTGAGAAGCTATTCTGAAATCTCAGGAGGGTGCGATGGTCCTGCCGCCCCCCCCCCCTGTATCCGCCCCTGTAAATTTAAAAAGCTTGCTTATTAAGTTATCAAACCACACTTATTTCATGGCGGATAATAAGGATAACTGATAAATAGAAGAAGTAACTGATTTAATTTAGGAGAACTGACTGATTTAATTTAGGAGAACTGACTGATTTAATTTAGGAGAACTGAGCTGAAAATTTTAAATTGGTGGATATCGAAATCAATGTTTGATCTCCTCTTTTTCTTAATCTCCAGATTAAATATTGCTTGTTCTCCTCTTGTTATTCATCTCCAGATTAATTAACAGATCGGGATTAAGTAATCCCCATTCTTAAGTTTTATGCGCTGACTAATTTAATTTAGGAGAACTGATAATTGAATTGAGAACTAATTCCAGCGCAGAACAATGTACTAGTACACAGGTACACTTCATACAGAACAATGTACTAGTACATCCAGGTACACTTCATCCAGAACAATGTACTAGTACACAGGTACACTTTATCCAGAACAATGTACTAGTACACAGGTACACTTCATCCAGAACAATGTACTAGTACACAGGTACACTTCATCCAGAACTCTAGATATTATTTAGTCATTGTTTTTAAAACATTTGGAAAAATTAAGTTCTAGCCATGGCTTCGCAGACAGGGCAACCAAAACTGTAAAGATGGAATGCATAATTAGTGTTTTAAATTTCACTATTCTTAAGGATTAACTATATATAAAATTACCATTCCTTATACAATTTATTCAGTTAATTCCATTCATTATAAAGTCCTGTCCTCCTTTAAAGAAAATACATATAGGTTTTACTTGTGACTAAGCTTTTTAATATGGCCTAACTTTTTTGCACTTTTTTCACCTTCTTCCAATATGCCTTCTAGTAAGCCATAAAACAGTGTACCATATTACGGGAAAAAATAGCTTGTGAATTTGGATGTCTTTTTTGAATTTTACAGAACTTGTAATATATATAATTTAGGTTGGGTTGAGCACAAGTCTTGTTGCAGCAATGTCAGTTGGAACCCGTTTCAAAGATAGAACTGGAGGAATACTGTTTAAAGTAATAGTCTGGAACAGGTAACAATGTTCAGGATAATAGTCTGGAACAGGTAACAGTGTTCAGAATGATAGTCTGTAACAGAAAACAGTGTACAGACTAATAACAGGTAACAGTGTTAAGGATAATAGTCTGGAACAGGTAACAGTATTAAATTTAATAGTCTGGAACAGGTAACAGTGTTCAGGATAATAGTCTGGAACCGGTAACAGTATTCGAAATAATAGTCTGGAACAAATAACAGTGTTAAATATAATAGTCGGTAACAGTTAACACTGTTTAGGATAATAGTCTGGAACGAGTAACAGTGTTTCGGATAATAGCTAGTCTGAAACAGGTAACAGTGTTCAGGATAATAATTAGTCTGAAACTGGTAGCAGTGTTTAGAATAATAGTCTGGAACAGGTAACAGTGTTTAATATAATTGTCTGGAACATTTAACACTGTTTATGATAATAGTCTGGAACAGGTAACAGTGTTCAGGATGAAAGTCTGGAACAGGTAACAGTGTTCAGAATGATAGTCTGTAACAGAAAACAGTGTACAGACTAATAACAGGTAACAGTGTTAAGGATAATAGTCTGGAACAGGTAACAGTATTAAATTTACTAGCCTGGAACATGGAAAAGTGTTCAGGATAATAGGCTGGAATAGGTAACAGCATTCAAGATATTAGTCTGGAACAAGTAACAGTGTTCAGGATAATAGTCTGGAGCAGGTAACAGTGTTCAGGATAATAGTCTGGAACAGGTAACAGTGTTCAGATAACAGTCTGTAACATGGACCATTATTTTACATAGAACTTTGGAACATTTTATCAATTATAATAAATTTTTTTCGTAAATATTATATCATTATTTAAATATTAAAATTATTTAAATTTCACTATTGTTAATGTTGTATAGGGTAGACTGGAGTGAAGTGACAAGCCTTGAATCTTCGGCTCGAACCAAATTCTGGATTTCAGACAAATATCTAGGAATTAGGTACAATATTTTATTTGTTATTTAGATTAAAAAATAGGATATGTAAAGGATTAATACAGGGCTTTTACTGAGGGGGTGGGGGGGGGGGGAAAGGCAACCGTGAGGTCGCCCATATCTTAACAATGATTATTAGGTTAGAACTTGGTTGATTTTAGAGGGGATTTATTAGTTAACTATAAAAACATGAAAATTGATAACTTTAAAGTTATGACAACTCCCCCGGCCCCCTTCTACAGAAACCCCCAGTTACGGCCATGACTTAACCTCAAATACACAATTCTTTTTCCCAAAAAAATTGTAATATTTTTTTTTATAAAAACTGTACCTATGCGCAAGTCTCTGTTAAGGTTTAAGTTTGTTTCCGAATGATACTATTGAGCAATAATTAGAATCATTAATGCTAATAAATAATTAATTTTTCCATCTTGGTTCCTGTTTTGCTTCTTTATTATTATCCACATAGAACATAGAAACGTAAAACCATCCTGAATAACGGATTATCTTTATAATATTTACAGTAATAATAATAATGTTTATTTAGTCTGATCGAAACTAGATGTCTGGTATAAGCTAACAACGGCAGAATTTGACGTTCTGTTATTTTACCTCCTTTGTCCAAAAATGTAGTAGCAGAAAATGTGTCTCGAATATTATACAATACAATAATTAGATAGTTTTACAATTTATGCATTACATTATATAAATGTAATTTCGAGATTGTTTTCTGGTCGTGTGTCCCTAAAAGTCTGATCCTAAAAGTCTGATCATTCGTCCCTAAAAGTCCCTAAAAGTCTGATCATTCGTCCCTAAAAGTCCCTAAAAGTCTGATCATTCGTCCCTAAAAGTCCCTAAAAGTCTGATCATTCGCTCAAACAATGTTCTTATTTCAGAATATTCGCGTAAATTATTAAGCTGCGCTCGTTCAAATCACTTCATTTTTGCAGAGAAAATTTGAGCTTAATATATTATCAGATGCCATATGGCGGGAGGATTAGTAATGTGACACATTTCCTTTCTTCCAGCAGAGGGAGGGCCAATCGTCTCTATCTTTAGAGGGTATTGTGTCAAAAGAACTTTAATTTTTTTAATCCTTATGTCTAATGTTGAAGTGTAGACCATGAATGTGTCAGACCTTTGATTAGATCAGATCGTCAAAGTTTATCAAATATCAAAGGTTAACAAAGTTTATCAAATATCTAAGGTTAACAAAGATAAAGGGATTAGAAAATTATTGTTTGAGACATGTGTTCTGTTCTTTTATATTGATTAAATGGGTAATTACATATTCATTTATTCCTCCCATGTTTAACTTTTCCTTGGGAATTCAAAACATGTTATGTTCTTTCGAATATTTGAATCAAAACAAACAATAAAAATTGATAGATTTCAATCTAAGTATCAATTAAACCTTTTAATGAATTTTATAAGACTTCTAATATTTAACAGTGTGCTCGCAGAATTAAATAACAGGAATTAAAGGTTTGATTTATTGACATATAATATTTGCAAGTTAAAAATTTGACAAAATTCGAACAAGTATGAAAGGTGCATAAAAATACATAAGTTTAAAACTAGCCCAGTTTATAAGGAAAATTTTACAAGTATAAAAATATGCATAAAAATGTTAAGTTTAAAACTAGCCCAGTTTATAAGGAAAATTTTACAAGTATGAAAAGATGCATAAAAATGTTAAGTTAAAAACAAGCCAAGTTTATTAGGAAAATTTTACAAGTATAAAAAGATGCATAAAAATGTTAAGTTAAAAACAAGCCAAGTTTATAAGGAAAATTTTACAAGTATAAAAATATGCATAAAAATGTTAAGTTAAAAACTAGCCCAGTTTATAAGGAAAATTTTACAAGTATAAAAATATGCATAAAAATGTTAAGTTAAAAACAAGAACGTTTTAGAGAGGGAGAGTTTAGGGGAATATAAATATATAGAGAGACCTGGTTAGAAGAGAAGTAGTAGTTATGCCTGTGAACCCCAGACTGAATCTACTACGAAAAGGTGGCCTTTTTATACGGCCGGGTATTGCATAATGATGACGAAAAACTAGGACATATTTCATGGCTTGTAAGGGAGAGAATGTTTTAGAACATGCATATTTCACAATGGTGATAAAAATATAGGGCTTGAGAAGCTTAAACGTTGTGAAAGTAAACTCAATTTATAAATACAGAACGTTCTAGAATATGCATATTGCACAATGATGATAAAAATATAGGGCTTGTGAAGGTAGAAACTGTTAAGAATGAATTCAATTGTAATTCAGAGATTATAAAGATAGAATAGGAGGGGAAGGGTAGACAAAAAATTGTTTCTATGGAGGGAAAAATTGATGTGTTTTACGCCTAGGAATGATGATGATCTTGTGATCTGGAAAGTTCGAAAGCATAGGGATACATCCATACATAAATACCTCTACATTCATCTTAAAGAGGTAACTCCCCTCCCCCCAGCATAGAGATACATCCATACATACATACCTCTACATTCATCTTAAAGAGGTAACTCCCCTCCCCCTTCAAATCCATGTTGATTAGGTTATAAAAAGACCTTTGAAAAAAATGGTTCAACATTTCTAGTTTGCCATTTGTTTTGTTATCCCAAAATCCCCCAAAGCGCAGAGAATAAAAGTTATTTTTGGGCTTCACTCATTCTTAGAATCTTAAACCTTTCTTAAATGTTTTCAATACAGCTCAACATTGGCAACATTGGTTGATATTTCTGATTATACTATTTTACTTATACATGTATTCAATACTGCTGAGGCGACTGTTGGAAAAAAATACCAAAAAACACATCAAGATCAATATATCTTAACGATTTAAAATCGTCTTTATCTACATTTTAGCGAAATGCATACCGTTAACTGTTTTTATCAAGGAAAACTATTAAGGATAAGTTTTGCGAAGCAAAACTATTCTAATAGTTTTACATAGTATTCGAGAAACAGTGTAGGGGGGGGGGGCAATATTTAGAAAATAAGGTTAATAAACGTTGGCCTAAAAATTGTTTAAATATGTGGAAGTATAATATATGAGATTAATATGGAAGAATAGGCATAGAATGATGAGACGATAATATTATATAGTGTAACGGTAGAGAGAAATGGAATAGAAATGCGTCGGAAAAACAATTGAGAAGAAACGTTTTGCGGAAAAGTTGAGTGCGAGGGAAAGTGTGCGGAAGTTGGGGTAGGGTGGTAGAGAGCAAGAGTACATTGAATACGATTGTGCAGGATGGTAGAGAGGAAGAGTACAATGCGTACAGATGCGTAAAACAGGTTTAAGGTGTAAGCCGGAATTGCACGAGGTTCGTCCAGTCATCCAGGTGTGAAGTAGCGAAGAAGTTAACGATAGGGGCAAAGGTAAAATTTATAAATTATTTTTGTAAATTAGGGATTGTTAATTTTAAAAGATGTTACTTGAATTAAGGATAAAGTGTGTACAAAAATGTGATGTTTATAGAATATGTTTTTTAAAACATGTATGTTCGCAAAATTGAAAGTTTATGTAAAGGAATAAAAGATTGAAATGTAGGGGGAGAAGTGGAAAATGATGAAGAAGAAAAGTATAGGAATGAAACTTTTGAATGATAAATGGGTTTGACCTAGTTGCAAGCGAGGATTTGTTTATGTAACGTAATATTGTAAAGTGAGACGATTAAATCATATGATTACTTAGTAGGAAAGTTTTAGTGTATTGGGGGTAGTAGAGTGTTGTCTTTATTGGATAATAGTAATAGTTATCAATTATTTTAGATGTGGGATGGAGATGATGAGCGTTTGGACGAGGAGTACGAGGACGAATATAATGAAGGGGTAGGGGGCGGAGTGACGTTAAAAGATGATGTAATTAAGAAACAAATCGTAAACATAAAAAATACAGTGAACGTTGCCGTAAATAATTACGTAAATGCTGTAAACACTATGAAGGAGTTGTTGCCGAAGGAGAAGGGTGCGATAATGGAAGGAGTGCAGGATGGAAAGAACGGTAGTGGAGTGGAGGGGAGTTTAGCAACAAAGTTACAGGAAGCTGTGACGGATGGAGTGGAGGGTATGAAGGAGTCATTGGAGTACTACAACGGAACTACAGTTAGTGAACTAAACAAGAAGATGGTAAAAGTGATGGAGAGAAGTAAGAATGTATCTGTGGCAGTGCAAGATCAGTTATGTGTGAGCAAGGAGGAAGGTACTGCTGTGAATGTACAAATAGTGCTTATTCTTGGAGGTGTTGTGATAGGAGTCATCATGTCTATAATAGTATATTTTTGCATGAAGTACGTAAGGTGAGGAAAGGTTGTTTAGAATAATAATAAAAAAGGGGGGGGGGGGGCAACATATCGAAAATACTTGCCGGGAAGGAACAATATATTAAAAGAGGATTAATTTGTGAACTTGTGGGAAAGGTGAACAGTGGTGAAGTTCTTAAATATAAACAATGAGAAAATATAAAGGGATGCCATAATGTGCAAATAAAATATTTCATGTTTAGGAGAAGGAGGAGAAATGTGGGACCCGAAGCTGTATGGAGGAAGGAACAGGGTTGTCTGAGAAGTTGCGGGGCAGATATGAAAGGAATTTGGGAGGTAAAAATAAAGTAGATAGGATTAGAGAAATAGAGGGAAAGATAGGAAGTGGATGGGGATAAAGGAAAGGTAGAATTGAAAAATGAATTAAAATTGTAAATGAATGGAGTTTGGATGTATTATATGAGATTAACGGGGTGGGGGGGTTATAGAGTAAGAATAAAATATTGAGAATAGCACTGAGTAAATAACGAAAGATATGTGTAAAATTGGTGAGAGATTTTGAAAAGATAGGTTTGGGGATGTTTAATAGCTGTAAAAATAGTTGATTTAATAATGTTAAATGAAAAATTTGATCGTTTGTGACAAAAATAATTGTATTTAGGAGCTTGCGGTTACAAGGGCTAACTGCTGTAAGAAGGTGGAGGAGTGTCCAGAAACATTTTACGAAGTACCTGACGGAGTGGCGAGGATTTATGATGAGGTGGATGAGGAGGAGGTACAAGACGGATGTGCGAAGGATTCAAGGAGCCAAAAAGATAGTACTACGAAAGGTGATGTGATGGAGCATTTGCAGGATGGAGCATGGAGTTTGAAACAAGCTAAGAACGAGAGTGTAAAGGACGGATTGAAGAATGTAGAGACCAGGAAGGATACCGTAAATAAGGTGAATATTTGAAAGTTAAAATTTTCTTAAATTAAAAAGGGAAACATAAGAAGAATTGAAAGAACGTTTGTGGGAATTGCAAATTAAGAGTGACCTGATATATATAATTATCAATATATTTATGGTATTAATGTTTTAGATGAAAACTGGCCTGTACAATTGGAATTATGTGGAAAGGATGGATAGAGATAAGATTGTGGGAGAAGAGAGCATAACTAACGTCAAGGATGGAGACATTGAAGTATGTAAAAGCATCAAGGACGGAGAGAGTGATGTATGTAAACCCGTCAAGGAAGGAGAGAAGAAGGATGATAAAGTCCTAGCTCCATTAAATGATGCATGGAGTCCAGAGAAGTGTAAGGAGGTACGTGTGGAAGTAACTCCTACTTTACTGCCAAGAAGAATTTCATTTTCCGGTAATAGGGTGTCAAATGAAGGAGTGGGAACCCGGATTTATGTAAATGGAGAAGATGCGTTAAATCTTGAATGTGAGAAGGAGAAGGATAGTGATGTTGGTGGGTCTAAAGAGAATATTGGAGATACTGCAGATAACGTGACGATTGTAGAGATTGAAGAAGATATAAAGCTGAATGAACGGAACGATATAGATCCAGACTTAGTTTTTCAAGAGATGAAAACTTTAGATGTTAGTGGAGCTATAGCGTATGTAGAAAGGATTCAGGGGAACGGAGATAAGAAACTGGAGAGAGTACTGAAAAGGTTGGAGCAAGATGTGAGGAAGGAGAAGGAAGAAGCTGGGATATTATCTAAGCGTATACTGGATCTAAGTGAGAAGGATGGGAACCTGAGAAGGAGTGCTCGTATACAATCAAGGCATGAGAAAAAAAGTTAGAATGCTAAACCGGAGACAAGAAGTTATAAATCCATTCAAAAAAAATCTTGTTTATATTTCAAACTTCTTGTAAAATGTACCAGACTTGAGATCGTTGTTTTGAATTTTTTGTTTTCGTTTACATTATGAAAAAAATAAGAAAATGTAAATAAATGTATAGTGTTGTGATTTGTGCATTTGTCTTTAATGCGTATGTATTTATAGACGAGTGAAAACTGGACGTACAGAATTTAAAGTGTGTTTATTTTAAACTGTAGGATTCATATTTAAACAAATTTGCTATGGATTAAGAAAATATTTGTTAAATTTAAAAAGTTTATAGGGACAGGTGATAATGTTTACAAGCGGGTATCTATATATTTACTTACATTTTTGGAAATGCGTGATTTGTTTTTCAATTTATTTTGCGAACAAGTCACAAATCTTAGAAACGAACATACAACGTAGCAAAGTAATATAATACATGGTTTTTAAAAAAAATGCAATTTAAACATTCATAATAATTAATTATCAATTTATTACGTTACAAGAGACACGATACAGTAACAAACATAAAAGATTGCAATGTTACGTAGCACATGGTTCAACTTAAAATTAGGCGTAATATTAATATTGATTGTGAATTTTATTTTAATTTTTGTTTTTAGTTTGTTTTTATACAAAAAAAATTTATACAAAAAGGTCATAATACAATGAGTTGCAAAATGATATTTTAATATTAGATATTTAAACTGAAGCTGTTTACGCAGAAGAGTGAAGGAATCCAATCAACAGGAAGCTGCACGGAACCTGCAACATTATTTATTAATCTTAATGATAGTTGTAGGTTTGTATTTATGAAAGGATGCAAGATATTTAGATCGTTTTTTGAGATTAGATTTTGGGACAAAAAGTTTGTACAGTAGAAAAATGAGAACAATAGAGCTAAGAAACAAGGTAGAACCCAATGAGAAGTAGATTTGGTATGTAGGATTATAATAAGGTTTAAGGAAGTATTGAATAAGAGTTAAATCTTCTATAGAAAAGTAGCTGGGGATTATATTAGTTTCCTGAGAAGTAGGACCGAACAAAAATGAAGAATTTTGCGTAATAATTTCAACTGTATATTCGGATGTTAACAAGTATGGAAGATTAAGCGGAGGAATTTCAGTTGAGACATTTAGTATTTTTTCTTGAGTTTTAGGATCTAGAAAGGAAATCTTTGCATTATCAGGGATATAAATACCTTCTAGAGTTAAAAATGGTTGAATTCGCCATTCTTTCTTTTCATTCTGCGGGGGGGGGGGCGCCCCCCCTCTCAGGTGCTAGGGGAGGGCGCGCGCCCGGCCTCCCCCCCCTAGTTGCGCCTCTGTTTAGAATTGCAGGGTGGGTAAAATTGTTAGAAATATGGGGAAAGGTATGTTTAAAAAGCTATAATATTTACCCTTATTCAAATCCTTTCTTTTGATAACAATTTAATGCTAATTTCTCCTGCAGTTTTGTTTTAAAGAATTTTACTGTGAGAAAAACAATGTTTTATCCATTTAGACATTTTGTCACCACTGCACCCTCTTGTTAATAATATCATCCATGGTTAACTAAACATTATCTAACACTTCCTTATTGTATTATGTCTTGAGACCAAAATGTCAGTCTTAATTGGTTGGAGTTGGACATTTCAGCAGCAAAGATGGACCTGTAGTAAACATAGATAAAGATAGATTGCGCATAAGACGACATTTTTCATCTTGAAAGATATAAATGTACAGAGATGTTTTAAAGATATTCCTATTATATAGATTAACTAGGTCGGTTGTGAACATTGGCTGTTCTTATGTCATTGAGTACTTGTGGTGTACATGAGTTCTGTAGAGAGAAATTTAAGTTAGTTTAGTCCTTCTCATGTCCTTCTTCAGTTCTCGTCAATATGATATATTGCTCAGTGAAATATTGTTGTTCAAATAGTTCCATTCCCGGAGTTATTTTACACTCTATTATGAAATCCATTAAAACACCAAACCACCCCACTTATCATTGAAGTACACTTTGACCCCTAGAAGTATGAGTTCGCGGACTGTACAATTCTTGGTGATTTTGCATACACAAGCTATCTATGTTTATTTATTTATCTATGGTAGTAAACACCTACTCCATAACAACATTGGTATCCATCCTGTAACAACATTTGAATATATCTTTAGCTCATTTGAATCCAACCCCTAGAACGTGTATCCATCCTTAACATCCAACCGATATCAAAATTCGTATCCATCCTTTAACATTCGTATACATCCTATATCAAATTCATGATCCATCATACCATTCATATTCATTTTTTACCAACATTAATATTCAACCTTTAACTTAAATCCAACCAATATCAACATTTGTATCCATCCTTAAACATTTGTATCCAGATTGGATCAACAATCAAATCCAACTGGTATCCAATTCTTGAATTCATCCTCAACATTTGTATGCATCTTGTAACCACATTTGAATATATTTTCAGCTCATTTGAATCCAACCCTAATATTTGTATCCATCCTTAATATTCGTATCCAGATTGGATCAACAATAGAATCCAACATGTATCAAATTCATAATCCATCATAACATTTGTATCCATCCTTTAACTGGAATCCAATCAATATCCGACCAATATATTGTATCAATCCAATTCAACATTTGTATCCATCCTGTTTAACATTTGTATCTATCCTGTATTAAATTCAAAATCCATCATAACATTGTCAACCATTAACTACAAGACCCGCCGTCCATCCATGTAATGTCGTCTTTAACTTAAAATTACCTCTCGGAGACACCAAACCAAATATATTTCGCCCCATTTTCTTTGTCCTCCGGTAACGGAGTCTAAACACTTTTATTATTGTGAACAAAATATTTTCATACAAAGAATGAGTGAATTTCGTTAACAATTAATTGTCATTCTTTTCAGAAGTTTTAATACATAAAAACGTCTTAGGACTCCCCGACAGTTTAACCTTCTTATCCCCAAATAGATCGTAAGAATCTTTTCATTGTAAAATTCGTAAACCATTGTAATAATTTATTTATCATTATACATATAATTTTTTTTAGGAAATAAAGAGTTTCTGCATTATCGGTTTTGATTTGAGGGTTATTCAGTTGTCTATCTGTTCATTATTGAGAATCTTGTGCCTATCCGACAACAAACATTCATACCATCCTTTGACTTAAATCCAACCAATATCAACATTTGTATCCATCCTTTATCATTTGTATTCATCATATATCAAATTCATAATCCATCATAACATTTGTAACCATTCTTTAACATTTGTATCCATCGTTTAATATTCGTATCCATCCTGTTTCCACATTCCAATATATCTTTTGCAACATTTGGATACAACCTATATCAAGGTTTGTATCCATCTTTTAAAATTTGTATCAATCTTTAACATTCTTATCCAGATTGGAACAACAATCAAAGCCAATGTTTATCTTATTCATGAATCCATCCTGTAACAACATTTAAATATATCTTTAGCTCATTTTAATCCAACCCCTAGCATAACTATATATCTTTAACATTTATATTCAGATTGTTTTAACAATTGAATCCAATATGTTTCAGTTCCAAACTTCTAATTATGATTATTACTTTGCGTTACCTTAAATTTGACGTTTTCTAGCCAGTTTGAATTTGATGATATCTAAAGCTTCAATATGCAGTGAAAACCCAAAAACTCTGAAATAGGAAGACGACTTTTAGAACCGAGTTATACCTCTAATGAGCATAATACACGGAAATTGTGCAGTGTAAACAGAACCATTTCACAAAATTAGTGATTTAATAAGTTGTTAGTAAAACTATTTGCTTTGATAACTGCAGCATCAAGTATTGCCATAATGTCGTCTTCCTATTTCATTGTTTTCTGTAGAAAATTGTCTTTATTATCAAATTTAGTAATTCTAGCTTGATTTAACTAGAAAAGGGATTTTGTACTGAATTAAACTATTAATATTAATATGAAACCTTTTCTAAACATAAAAAAATCATGTTTTCCTTTGTGCGTTTCTTTGATTATTTACATGTATTATGAATGTTTTGCCTGTATAGAAAAATAGATTGGAGGGTCACTTGAGATTAAGTTGACAGTCCCTTTGTCTTTTTTTTACACAAATTGTGTCATAAAATTTCTATAAAACACAATTTTTTAGCTGTATCCCATCTCTCGTGTTCAGTTGGGAAACCCTGTAAAATTATGTCTAATGTCTATAGGCCTGTACTGCATAGGTTGCTTCCAGAGCCCGAAATTTAAAAAAGTATCGTATCGTTGAACGAAACTCTCGAGTTTCCTTTTTGGGGTCTTAACATTTGCGTAGATTTTGATTTAAGAGATTCGAAAAAAATGGAGAATCTAAATCAAGTGAAAAAAATAATATTTTATTACAAAAATATTGATATTCATAAAACTGCTTAACCCCATTTGTGAAACCCGGCTTTTAAAACTGGTTTTCATAACGATACCCTGTCTTAAGTTTTGGGCTCAGGACCACTCAGGATTACAGGTAAACACCAAGGCAGGTTAAACACCATGTATAGTGTATATCGAGGGGGGGTAACTTTCAATCCCTGTGCCAGACTCCTTAGTTATATTTTTCACAACTAGGTGTAGCTGTCTTTCATTTAAACTTAATTTATACCCTATGCTGATAATTTTACTTTTTGTTCTAGGAATTGTGTGCAATGCTTGCTATTTTAAACAATCTTAAAAGTAGATGTTATTCAATTTTTTTAATAGAATTATTGTAGAATTCATATTATTTGTGCAGATCATATAAACATAAGCTTAACCAAAGTCGAGAATGATTGGTCGCGCCTATCACCATTTGTTGTAAAGTTATTTGAATGGATTAATGACAAAGACATTGTATCCTATTATTTGAATTTATGTTTATTAAAGTGACCAATGTAAAATTTGAATAGATGAAATTAAACCACTTCTCTTCAGACAAAACTCACTGAATAAGTGATTGCTCAGTTCAACTTATTCATAATTTTCATTAAATCTGATCCCTGTCAGTTAAGTAACAAATAAAAATATTCTGAAATTTCCTAAATAATATAAGACTTGTAAAAAAATTAAAAATTTTATTTTTTTCGATCTCAAAAACAATTTTTAATTTGAATTATCAGTTTCTGCATTTTATTTTATTTTCTGCAATAGACAATACTGGTCCTGCAGGTAAACTAAAACTACAGGTATCTCTTTGTGACCTTGTATAATTCTTTTTATAGTTTTGATCTATTTGCCCCAATATTTAAATAAAAAATGCTTATTTTGATATTAAACCCTAGAACTTTTTAATGTTAAAATGGACTGTAGTCATATCTTTAAATTATTTTATTTGTTCATTTGTAAAAAAAAAATTATTTTGTTCATATTTACTAACGTTCAAATGGACTAAAAACTGGTTTGAAAACAACTGACTTTAGTTCAAATGAACGTTAGTGCATTATAATATTAAAGTCCATAAAGTATTTTAAAATTAGATAAGAGGATTTGTTTGGTTTAACATATATCCACGAGAAAACTTAAGTTTGGAGGGACAAATCAACGTACTTTTGTATAACTATTCCCGTCTACACTGTTAGAAAAACCCGCTTACAATCAACAGTATTTAGTTCACGCACCAAGCCATGAAGATCCGTTGTAATATATCAACGATAAT